ATCTCACAATATCACTGAACCATATGTATAAACCATGAGAGTTTTGGATGGTACAATTTATGAAAGAAGAATCACTTGTCATTTAAATGTGGAACAATAATACGGTGGTCACTCAGAATGACACATAGGCTTCAAGATCTGGCATACGCCGCCACTCGCAAAATGAACCAAAATTAAGATCTCACAATATCACTGAACCATATGTATAAACCATGAGAGTTTTGGATGGTACAATTTATGAAAGAAGAATCAATAATATTGTCATTTAAATGTGGAACAATAATACGGTGGTCACTCAGAATGACACATAGGCTTCAAGATCTGGCATACGCCGCCACTCGCAAAATGAACCAAAATTAAGATCTCACAATATCACTGAACCATATGTATAAACCATGAGAGTTTTGGATGGTACAATTTATGAAAGAAGAATCAATAATATTGTCATTTAAATGTGGAACAATAATACGGTGGTCACTCAGAATGACACATAGGCTTCAAGATCTGGCAAGTGCCGTCACTCGCAAAATGAGCCAAAATTAAGATCTAACAATATCACTGAACCATATGTATAAACCATAAGAGTTTTGGATGGTACAATTTATGAAAGAAGAATCACTTGTCATTTAAATGTGGAACAATAATACAGTGGTCACTCAGAATGACACATAGGCTTCACTCGCAAATTGAAAAAAATGCCGTCACTCGCAAAATGAGCCAAAATTAAGATCTCACAATATCACTGAACCATATGTACAACCCATAAGAGTTTTGGATGGTACAATTTATGAAAGAAGAATCACTTGTCATTTAAATGTGGAACAATAATACAGTGGTCACTCAGAATGACACATACTGTAGGCTCCAAGATCTGGCAAGTGCCGTCACTCGCAAAATGAACCAAAATTACGATCTCACAGTATCACTGAGCCATATGTATAAACCATAAGAGTTTTGGATGGTACAATTTATGAAATAAGAATCATTTGTCATTTAAATGTGGAACAATAATACACTGGTCACTCAGAATGACACATATGCTTCAAGATCTGGCAAACTTATGCCGTCACTTGCAAAATGAACCAAATTAAGTTTTCACAATATCACTGAACGATAATTATGTATAGATGTAAAACAAGAGTTTTTGACTGCAAAAATTTCAAAAGGAAAATCATTTGTCATTTGAAATGTAGTAGAATATTAAATAATAAATTATAGTGACCATTGCTTTGTCAAGTGCTGTCACCTGAAAAGTACAGTAAACCCAAAGATCTAACATATTAACTCAGCTGTACAACAAGCCAAATTACTGAATTATGGACATACTAAGGTCACATCACCGACTTATATTGGTGTAAAAGAAATGTTTGCCTGCACAGCTCAAGATCTGGCTACTTAAGATCATTCCATTAATGAAGACGATGGGCATCAAAAAGTACAGTTATTTCTGCAGTAAACAAAAAGGAATCAATCAATGGCATATCTGTGCATGCATCTTAAATTTTAAGATTTATCTTTGAGGTTTTAAGCTTACGCAAAGTTATTAGAAAACCAAAGTAAGTAAACGAACCACGATATCAAGAAGAACATACCTTTCTGCAATCCAGCTGAGTTGATGACTTGAAAACAGGCTTTATGTGAAGAATATCGCAACTGATCACTGTCTCTCGAAAATAACAAAGGTATAAATCGTAATAGAACAGCTGAATAGAAAGACAGGCTTTCTATTATCCGAAAATAACAAAACTACTCGTTTTGCAACGCTGTATTGCTTGAGAAGTCCGCGTGAATTTGAACTGTTCAACGAAAGTTTATTTTACACTATTCTATTGGTTCAAAAGCCGCACGTGACAATGTAAATCAAATCGCGCATGTGCCAAAGTCACGTGGAAGCCTGGGAAACAACAAACATGGCGGCTGATCTTGCGATCGAGTGCATTCAGGACTACATTCACCCGGACGATGAAACTCTGCAATCTACTATTGAAATGACTCCTGGGTTCAAACCTTTCACATATTGTGCATTTTGTTCACCCAAATTGTAAATGGTAACGTTTTACGTCAGGGCCTCCTATTCCGAGACTTCTTGTGATATCCCAATATCAGGAAACGCATTCGACGCTAAACGAAAAAAAAGGGGGGATGGCCTTACCCGAAATAACCAGCTGCAGCAAGTAATATGATAAACTCTGAGAAGAATGTGATGGTGATTGAAACCGGGCAATGGAAAATCAAAACTTGCGTGAAATAACACTGTGAAGTTTGGTAAATGTGCAAACCTTGGTTAAAGTGGTCGTAAAGATAGTTCTTTGATCATATTTTGCTTAAATTTACGCCTCTAGTAACCATAAATTTACACATTAACTTTGCTATGCCAGAAAATATCAAGCAAACATTCATTTTTGACGTTCGATTTTTACACAGGGAACAAAATGTCGGCAAATTTGAATCTAAATACCAAATTTACTTTGGGGAGCAAAAGTGAAACAAAATATCTGTAAACTTGATATTTACTCCACATTTACGCCACCCTTGCAGAAAAGTAAACTTTCACTTTCGAGCAATATTTGCACCATGAACAAATAAGTAGCAACATTAGTACCCTAAATTTACAATAGATTTGCTCAACTAGCAAACTTAGGCAAATCCGTTTTTTCGTCCAGTGTTATAGCCCAGTTTATATATGAGGGTACATAAACGCATTCGGTACAACTAGAGTTTCGCAGTATTCAGCTTTTTTAAAAGAGAGCTCATGTATGTCCTCATGTGTATGGAACTTGAGTCTATATATGCAAATCATTTATGTCATTTGAAACTTATGGCAAAGCCCGAAAGAGATAGCGCAAAGCACAGATATAAGCTCATTGAATGCATGCAAGTTTAATAACATGTTCGATCGAGGTACCCGGTAAAATGATAAAAAAACGATAGAAGGTTTACAATCCATACATCTACAGTTAAAAAAATCTTGAGGACATGTACAGGTAAGCAAACGATTGAAGGAGTACCTGTCTAAGAGTCCCTGCTGACTATTTTCCACTATAGTTCAGTAGTTTGTTTACAGCACCAGCCTTGGATCTTGAGCTCGCTATACTACTCTATGTGCGCTGGAAGTAATCTTTAATACCTTGGAGATTGCTCTTCTCCAAAAATTTTTGTTAAATTTTTTGAGACGGAGAAACTCCAGTTGAAATGAAATAGTATAATTTGTTTTCCTTATAGTCGATGAATTGTCCTGCTTCACTTTCTGTTTTTGCTCTCTTCCGTGGGTTGTTGTTCCCTGACTGTCAGCCATTGTGGATATCCCAGAATACTCCGCGTTGAGTGAAACAATAGTGAAACTGACCAGGGAAGGGATAGGAAAAATTGTAAAAAAAACCCCAAAGCGATTAGGTTAAGGTCGAAACAGCCAATTTAACTTCTAAAAACGCGTGGTAACCCCTACTTTTTATCTTACCAAATGAAAGTAATAAGCCTACTAAGCAAATGATCAATTTTTGGTTCGTGGAAAATGTCTTTTACACTATTTTTAAGGCCAACGCGTGGAGAGGGGTAACTGCTGATAACTTCCCAGTTGTGCTGATATTTCAAAAAAAGACGTATAAAGAGCAGTTGTTATGTTGTCATTTGTTGCTTATTTTGAAACCTTGTTGCAATTATCATTGCATTTGTGCCAGTTTACGTGTACACTCTGAAATTTGGGGGTAAAATAACTTTTTATCATTTTTCTAAAAAATGCCTATTCAGCGTTTTTCTCCATATTGAAGCGCAGTTATATCTGAAAAATGCGTGGTTACCCCCCGTTTTCTTTTTGGATTTCAATAGCCGCGGATATGATCTATTTGTCTCACATAGTCATTATCTGGGAAAAAATACTTCCCATTAGTGGGCACCGTCCTTAAAACTGTTTCTGCGACTTTGAAGAATGTCACAACAATATAAACCCACACCAAAGAAAATCAAAGATGGCGCCAATTTATTATTTCGCGGGCTTATAATAGCTAACACGTATACTTCAAGGATGAGCAGGCGGGTAAATTATCGTTTTCAAATCGATTCATCGTATAAATGTGGACGGACGAAAACGATGCGAAAACGCTTCGAGTGGACGCGAATTTTTTTTGAAAACGGAGAAAAAAGTTGCGTTTTCAAACGAATACGGATACGTGTGGACAGAGCGTTAGTCTAGTGCCTTTTTACGTTCTCTTTGCCGTCGCTGTCGCCGTCGTAGTTGTCAAATAATTAGCCGCAAAAAATGTTTTCTGAATCAAAGATTGCCCTCACCCCGAATAAAAAATCCCCGGACCCGCCCCTGGTTGAGTGTCATGAACGATATCACAGGAGCCCAATGCAAAATACCACACTTCGAGGAATTCCTAAAAATTCTTTGCAAATCCTTATAACAGTAGGTGTTTTCTTTTCTTTCTCCCTTTTCTTTTTTTTAGAAAATACTTCACATATTTTTCGCATACCACAAGAAACCATTCGGCGCACATAAATATTTCGAGCAATTAACAAACCTTGTTCATTAAGAAAAGTTTGAAAAGACGGGAATCATGACGTCGCCGCTCGATATGACCACTTGTGTTACACACGAAAAAGACGCCCTCGGTTCCCGGATTCAGTGATCATAACTAGGAGTGCTTTAGTTTCCCTTAAAACACTTCCCCGTCCATATCATAACTAGGAACATTTCATATATTTATCTATTTTTGAGAAATATTAAAACTTTTTTTTTAAATCTTGATTTGCTTGTAGATTACGTCTTAAGGTTAGCAAATGGAAGTCGAAAGTCAGAAGGAAGAGTGGAAATATTTTACAATGATATCTGGGGAACTGTTTGTGACGATTTCTGGCATCTGAGGGACGCAATTGTTGTTTGTCGCCAACTGGGATATTCTTCAGCATTAACTGCCAAAGGAGAAGCTTCGTTTGGTACCGGAATAGGACAAATATGGCTAGACAATGTTGAATGCCTGGGGAACGAAAGTTCCATTGACATGTGTCCAAGTAATGAATGGGGAGACAACAACTGTGGCCATCATGAAGATGCATCTGTCGTTTGTACAGGTTAGATAGTATTATGAACTAGTCCACTAACTATGAAAACGAAAATTCTAGCCTTGCTAAAATTTTCGTCTTCATTTCATTGACAAGCTGTCGAGTTTTGGGATATTAGCTTCGTTATCAACATTATATTGCATCCGTCGGCTTCCGCTGAAACTCCTCGACCAGCTTCTGAATCAAATTCTCAACTCAGCCATTGCAACAAACCGGTCTTACACCCCAGGTCCAATATATTTCGGTATTATGTCGGGAAATTGTAACTTCTTAGATCTCACAGCTGAGTGGAGGCCTGTTCTTGGGGTCATAGAATGTTTAGCGTATTACTTTCCTCTGTTGGTACGGTGGCATTGCTCCCTTAAATGTTCCCTACGTAAGTCTCTGTTGGCGTTTTTCCAACCATGAAATCTATGAAACATGCCGCACGGGTGCCCCAAGAGTAGTGTGCCGAGATTGCATGGAAATACAATATACGTCAAATTAAGAAACTAAAACGGGTAAAAGTTATTAATAAAGCCGTATAAATATTGTTACCCGGTGTACGAAGTTTCATAGTCTTATTTGAGTTGAACTGACTGTTCAACCGGTCGTCGATAAACAGGTCTCAATTTTGAGTGTTGTGCCAAACGTTTGAAAAGTTATTCCCCAATTTGTGACCTTTTCTTTTTTTTCCCCAGATGTTCTAGGACAATGGCTGCTGAATGGCCAAGAGCATGATATAAGGTTGGCTGGTTAATCAGTTTCAATTTCACCTATTGTTAGACATTTTTTATACTGATCAGATGAGCACATCAAAGAGTTTGCAGAAAATTGTAGAAATTCGCCACTTTCACATTGCCCATCCCACCTAAAATCAGGGACAAAAGTAGTTGACACACTTGTTTAAAACGGGTGCTTTTAACAAACATTTAATTCATTTATTATTTCATTCTTTTTAAACGCCGTAAATCCCCTCACCCCCCGAATCAATGTTGTCTGAAGTAAAAAAAAGGCTTGAGGGTCTAAAATTCAACATTGATTTTGGGGGGGAAGGGGTTGGGGTAGACAGGGGAAGGGGATAAGTATATCCACTATACAAAAAGGGGCCATTTTACGGAAGTGTGTCAACACTTTTGTCCCTCATTGTAGGTCACCTCGAGAAATTCAGCATAAGAATTGTTAAATTTTAATTTTCTACTGGCTATAACAGTCGTCCCAAGAGAAAGCGAAAAAAGTGCTTCTCATAATTTTTCTTTTCTTTTCTTATTGTTTTTTTCGTCGAGGAGAGGTCGGTTAAACAAGGCGAATCACCGAAGCAATGAGAAAGTGGTAAATTACTGATTTTCTGGTGAACTGATCATGATCGAGTGGTTACGAGAGTAATTTTGGTGGTTTTATACTCGACAGGAATTCGTTTTTTTGGAAAGTTTGATTCACTGAACGAAGCCGAAAAGGCCACGTCGACTCTTCTTTGCGCATCGTAAACAATTACGCCTTTTTAAAAGCGTAAACAGACTATAAAGTCTTTTCTCCACACATGTGGCTTAGCATAAAGTGTCAGGATCTTACACCCCATGCACGCTAATACACTGGAATGCAGGATACGAAAGCGATGGTGGTTTAGGTCTCGAATCCGTTGTAAGAGCAACTTTGATGCGAGTCGAGGAGGAGTGGTGATGTTCTGTCGTCTTCAACATCCTTCAACAATTCCTGTTGTCATCTTGCGGAATTACCACCTCTAAGATGAATTGGAAATCTAAAAATAGTGAAAAAAGGCGCGGAGCGTCACACAGCATATAGATATCTCATCTCAATAAGATCCACTTCTCCGTCGATCCATTGAAAGAGCGGTCGGCCGAATATCATCACGTCACTGATCTTGTCGCAGAACAACGCGCTTTTTGGCCAAAAAAAATCGCCAAAGGGATTGGGCTTTGCCTCTTCCACAATTCTCTTGGCAAACGGGTCTCAGTGAAACGCGGGGCCGGGGTCGGGGTCTATCTTTTTTTTTTTTTTAGAGAATGCTGTTTTAGGGTTAGTGTTATGGTTAGGTTAGGGTTATTTAGGGTTAGGGTTAGGTTCAGGGTTAGGGTTAGCGTCAACCCTAACCCTAAAACAGCATTCTCTAAAAAAAGATAGACCCCAACCCCTCGTTTTACTGACATCCTTCGCGAACCGAGACATGGATTTCTATCTGTCCGTTCATTAGAATTTTGGAACCGCTGCACGTGCATATTGTGCATGTGGCTTCCATTTCTAATTGGTCAGGCCATAGGGCTGTCGCTAACACCATGATTTTAAGTTGCCGAGTATACGCGACTAATGTGAGGGGAATTGTACAGCAGGGAAGTTCTTTTTGTTTTATTGTCCTTTTGTTTCCTATTAGAGTAGCCGGGGCTCAGGCTCATGGTAGCCGGGGAAAATCCCCGACCCCCGGCTCTTGGTGACAGCCCGCGGTCAAGTGTGTTCTGACGTGTGGTGTAAACCATACTTGGCGACGAACTTCGGCTTCTTTGAACTACGAACGTTTCGTGGTCACCAAGTAAAGTTGAGGTAGTTACATTTTACCTCTTCACACTCAAAATGGGTTCCAAGTACATTTGGATTACACTAGAGAGCTAGAGTGAAGCCAACAATTGAAATATACTAATCATGGAGGCGTGTATATGGTGCACATTACTAATAATTTGGAAAAAAAATTAGCATAACGACAAAACAGTGAATGTTGTAACGCAGATTTTTGGTCGGTTCGTAGGCTAGGTTCGCCTGAAGATTTCAAGGTGTTGCAGTAAATCAATCGCAATGAAAGTTTTACACATTATTATATGCATCGTCAAGATTATGTGATAAGGTTTAAAAAAGAATTGTGTCCAGTCAATCTAGAGATGTACAGAAAAGCACTAAAAGTCTAACTTTAGAATAACGCTGCACTTCGACTGGTGTTGAGAAAATAGGTTAGTTTTCAGTATCGCAAGAATAGAATATACCAGAATTTCTAAGCAGCGAAATATGATATAAAGCAGCATTCTGACGCTACTTAAGATTAATTTTAAATATTAAAAACGTTTTTATCAACTGGAATCAATTTCGACTATTGAAAATATAAGGTTTGTGATATATATTTACGTTTTATTTGAATTCAGATATACATATTTTTTAAATTCTCTTATTACCACTCTTTAAGTTCCTGGTTTCGGCTTTTCAGTAGGTCTAGATCGCGCAAACTTCTGGTTTAATCGATTGTTAAGTTTTTTGTTTATTGTTGTCATAGTGGTATCGATCCGATTTACCTTAAACGGCATTTGACTAACTAGTCAGTCAGTGGTAAAAATTGACTAGTCAGTCAGTGGTAAAAATTTCATACCTATCAGACAAGGATAAAATCAAATTTTTAGGCGATCGAAAATCTTGGTATTAAGAATGATGCATGCAAAATCGACAGTTATAAGCTTGTTGGAATGGCATTCGAAAACTAGCGGTGTCATACTGGGTGCCCCTGATTAAAATTCTACCTGTGATGAATGAGCTGTCTTTAAAACACCTCTTTTCTCGAATGACTGGAAATAAGCCTCGGGTTCGTGCATTAAGAGAAAGGGCACCTTGAGTTTGCCTGGAATAATTGACCCCCACGTCCCTGTTGCCTGTGTGTCTAAGCAGGCGTTTGATAGCATCCACTATCGGCAACGATTCGTGAAATTTCCGAATATCAGTTTCTCTAATTTGACCTCACCCTGGTTGCAAAGTTGTCTTTCTACAGAACACAAACATCGTTCCATCAGTTTGTAGCACGGGTACCGTTTGAACCTGTGGAAAAATCCCTTAGGCAGATGGAGCCCCTACTGTTTTACAAGTTTAACACACCAACACGTTACCTACCACCTACCTTGCAAAGGGTGCCTTGCATCTAAACCAAAGAAAGGGCTGGGAAAAGCTTCTAAATCAATATGGGACTCGTGAAATCAACCTACCGTTGTATCTTGTGATGGGTTGTGATGCTAATCTAGACTTAGAGATCCTGAATCGATGAATTTCGAACTGACAAATACTCCAGAGCTACAAAAACCTATCAGTGCATCAAACAGGAAGTGTCTTCCAAAGTGATCTTGTGTTGCGGGATTATATGAAGATTCTTTCAGGGATAAACGTGGTAAGCTACCTACCAAAGTGCTTTTGGAAGTTGATCTCTTGGTTTCTCCAATAGTACATACTCCCAGGAAAATCCCCATGCTCTTCTTGAACCAGCATAGGAGAAGCTCACAGAAATGGAAGAATATGAGATTATTTTCAAAGAAGGGGAACACTCCCCTTGAGTTTCATGTAAGAGTGACTGAAAAATTAAAAGTGGAAGAAAAGAGCACTCCATCCTTATAGAGTGATGTCTGAAGTTGTATAGACCAAAGGACCTAAACAAAGCTTTTAGGAGACCACACTATCCAATGGTTGCTTTAGAGGAGGTTGCCAAAAGACGTTCAGATGCATGTTCAATTTTCATTTCCTTTAATGCATGTAGTGGGTACTGAGAGATCCCATTTGATGATAAAGAGCTCTATAAACTCCCAATATTGAACTCACCCTGGCATCTCTCCTGCTCGTGAAATCTACTAGTGGGGGATGGACAAACTCTATGAAGGGGTTCCTGTGCAGATTATAGTGATGCTGCCGAAGTTGAGACGACTACTGGATAGAAGCAGGGAAGTAGGATTGAAGAGCAACAAAAAGAAAGTGCAACTTCGAGTTCCTGAAGTAAGCTATGTTGGACATGTGTTTTCAGCCGATGGCTTGAAACCCGAGTCTGGTACTGAGTTGAACCAATCAGTGAGAAGCCTGTTACTGACGAAGAAGGAGTGGTTCGAAATAGGAACTGTCAATTAACTAGACACGTTCATTGAACCCAAAACCATCTACAAGTACCAAACTCACAACTTACTCAGTAAGCTGTAGCATTCGTGTGGATGAAGATCCTTTTGGAGTTTTTCTGTATCCTCTGTTTTTTATTTTTTTTTTTGTAGAAAAAGATGGAGCCTTTGTATCTTTAGTGATTTTGTTACTATTTGCTAATAATGAGTCCTGGGACTCATCCTATCATGACTCCTAATCCAGAATAAATGAATCCCAGTTCAAAACCCATAAGTCCTAATTATATTTAAAAGATGCCAGGGCACAGAAAATTATCCGCAAAACTGTTAGTAGTGGGAACACTCCGCAGGACTCTGTCAAGTCTTTCTTGAAACACGTCTCGTGTAACTTGTCACAGTTAACCCAAAGGGTAGGCGTAGCCAACTACTGTACCTGCCCCATTGTGTATTGAGGGTCGCCGGCAAACTACTCTCCTTGTCCAGTAGAAAGTGCCAATAGCCGACTTAGCGTCGAGTAGGCTGAAGTACTTTGAGTTTGCCAGCTCAGGTAGGACATCATTAATTGTTCTTTTGTACCACTGGTTGTGCTTAATGGCTATATTTAGACCTTTATGATCAAGGCATAACCTCAGAAACCATGAGGTTTCTTCACACAAGCAATTGAATTGATCCATTCAGTGTACTCTTAGACTTCTTTAAGTACTTTAAGTTCTACCGGTCTCTTCAACCTTACTTTGTAGGCTGGTTTAAGGCTCACTTCAACTGAATATTATCAGATAAGGTTATGTTCTTGTCTGTACATTCTTGTACTACTGGAATAACTGGTTCTGCAGGGGGTTTCGCATGCTTGTCAGTAATGGTTTTTATGGACGCATCCATTTGGCCTTGACCGCTGGCTGCTGAATCTCCGGGAAGCTAATATACCCCATTAGCAATGCTTACTGCCTGCCCAGGATCATGTAATCTTTGCTGTCTGTCACACATGAAACTTTGTATATTTGCTTGCCATAATGAAGGTACACACAACAAGATCCAAGACTCTCAACTGAAATGTCATTGTTAATGCACCCTTTCAGATTCATTGTCGGTTGTCCCAGCTTGAGGTCCGTTCCAAAAAGAGATTTTGCTTTGTACAGAGGTAGAATGTTGCAGCTTGCATTTGTATCGACTCTACAGGAGATCTGGAAATCTGTGATGAGATCGAGCTCCTTAATAACTCAAAGAGGGCGAATGTGTGGCAGTGAGTGAGAGTGATTAAGATTCTTTGCCATTACCGTCTTCAAATAATGCTCGGCTGCAGTAAAATACACTTGCGTATAGTCTTCCGCTGTGCTGTCTTCGTTTGAGGGCGCATCGGTAGGCTGGGTTTGTAACTCGTTAACATCCCCTCCTCTTTGGACTTGCAAACAGATCTAGAGCCATAATGTCCCTCTTTTCCACACTTTTTAAAAACACTTTGCGTTGCAGGCCATTGACTTCTTGGATGTACAGGCTTTGCTCCACAATTGAAACAGGTTTCTCCCTTGGTGCTTTTTTGATGGTATGATCCACCTCTTTCCTTCTGCTGTTTCTTTTTTTTTACCCCTGGCTTCTTGCTTTTCATAGAGTTGATGGATTGCTGCTTGGGTCAGATTGCCTTTGAACTCTGGTCTCATAACTAACCTGACTAGCCGTGGCGTCTACGTTACGTTTTTAGCAATCGTTATTGCTCCTCCAAAGTCAAAGCTCAGCCTTTCCCAATGCATTTAAAGTAAGCCATTTCTTCCCATTCACTTTGCCAAGTAGCTTCATAATTAATCTCTGAATATGTTTTTTCAAGAATTACAATTTTCCCCCCTGATCTTTTAGATAATAACATATTCTCACTACCTACAATACACATGAATATACAATGAGACATGAAGGGGTGAAAGTGGTCCGCAAATCCACCTGCTTGACTGGTAAATAGTTTCTGCCCAATAGGGTAAGGTTTTAATGGTCTCGAACCTTAAATATAGGGTATTGTTTTTGGCCTATTTGGCATTGTGTTCCTCGAGTGATCTTTAGAGTGGTTACGCAAATCAGCAAAAATCAGGTGTGTCATGTCGAGACCTGTGATGTTTAGGTATCAAATAAAATGTCGATACATTTCTCTCCTTCCGTTGCATTTTGATGTGGAAATTTGAGTGTATAATATATTTATTGTTTTAAATAAATTGTCTTAAATTGTCTTACAATTTATACCCATGATCTTGCACTTTTCTTTTCCAGTTTCAAGGGATCGTTGTCATTTATTGACGGTTGGTGTCCGGGCGTCCAAGCTCCCGTTTTCAACCAAACAAATCCTTTTGCTACCGCCCCGATCATGAACCTAAGTGATAGCAGTTTTACAATTTCCTGTTGGATAAAACAAACTACATGGATTATTAATACGTTCGGAGCTATCTATGGTGACTGGAACGCTCCACGCCAATTTTTGCTCGGTACAATGAACCAGAGGATCGTGTTTTATCGCCATAGTGATGTCGGTGAAGAGTGGTGGTCGTTGCAAAGTACTAACGTGTCTTTAAGTGACTGGACACACCTGGCGGTTACGTGGAATCACCTCACTGGAGCTGTGTTGATATATATCAACGGAAAAATAGTGGGTAACAAATCATATCCTCCCGAAAAAACGTTCTACGGACCTTCGGGGAAGCCATACACCATTGGCAACGCTGGGCATGAAGACGCCTACCAGTTCAACGGTTCAGTAGTGCGTCTAAGTGTCTTGAAGTGGGCATTGTCAATTGATGACGTTGATGAGCTAAGAGGTTTGAGATTCATAACTTTATAAATCATCCTAAAGTACTTTTGCTCTTCAGTATTCACTATTAATATTGGATGCAAGCACCGTGACGGCCTCGGCCAGACAAAGTGTAGTAGAATCTCGCATTACGGACATCCGATTAATACGGACAAAGTTTCATTTGTTCCGACGAAAAGCTCATATATTTTCGCTAATTCTCTAAAATTAACCCGCTCAATACGGACATTGGTTAATTATACAAAGTTTTCTCTTGAGAATGACTGCTTTCCTCTTCATTTCAACAAATCATGCGTCCATGAAGTTTTTTGAGTTCTCGCTTGATACGGTTACCCGGTTAGTAAATGTCCCCTTGGTGTCCGTATTAGTCAGGTTCCACCGTATGATTTTCCTTAACCCAGATCACATAGTTACATAAACTAGTAGTAGTTAACACCAGAGCTGCCCCGCCCTGTATGACTGTTGTAGGTCAAAAGTATTCTTGGTCGTTGCGTAGCTCTTTGAAATATACCGATTCATAATTAAAAATTTTAACTCATATTCCATATAATATATGCGATAAAAACAGGAAACGCAAGGTTCCATGCATTGATTCAGGACTAATTCAGGCCGATTTACACAGCTTTGATCATAACATTCTCAGTTTCGAAAATATTTTATTCTAAACCATGAGAAAAAAACGATTAGAAGTGGCAATTTTTCGCTTTTTACATGCAGTTAATTTTATTGGCCGGAAAGTTAAAGCCTTAGTAATCAAAAGGTTTGATCAATTCACCCTCGCATGTTCTAGTCATGTTTTTAACTATCAAGACAACACTTCAAAAAATCTTTATAGAAGGACATCTGTGAGCAGGGAGTACGTCAGCTCAGAATTTGATTGTTGGCGAATTTCTGTAATCGTCCATCGTTCTGCAAACGATAAGCTAGCCTTTGATGCACTCGTCTTGCTTGTTTGTGGACTGAGTCTTATTCCCCCTGGCAATTTTTTTCAATCAACGATTTGTGAACACGTGTCTGGCAAACTCTCCAAGTGTTTATTTATACGCAGTTATACGCACCTTATAACTTAATCTGCGCTTAGTGAGAGTCTCTTGGTCCATAATTTTCAAAACAGCTGCTCCACAGAATGTCACTGATAACACGTAACACAAAAAGTATCGAAGTATGACTATACAGTAAGTGTCAGAAAATCAACTTAAGCGGTCCCTTCGGGGATTTTACATCTTAAGAGTGTGTCCATGAGAAAACCAGGCAGAACCAGGCAGGGGGTGATAATGCTCAAATCACCGATTTCGCTCAAACTTGGCACAAATGTTAGGTATCAGGAGTTAGCTTATGTGACAGAATGTCAGGTCAAAATATTAAATTCCCTGGGAGATCCGCGCTCCCCCTGTAAAAATCGCCATTTTGCCCGTTTATGCATAATTAATTAGCTAACTTTACGATGCCAGTGCAACAAACAGAAAAGCCACCTGGAACTTAAATGCACTGAGAGATGATCTGACATCATAAGACTTTAAGCGCAATAAACTGCTTAAAGTCGCCGATTCGATTTCCCCCCTCTTAGCCCCCTTAAGTTGGGTCATCATTTCCCAGTTTTGAGTAAGACGTAAAATTAGGGTATTTTATTCCCAAATATCTCTGATGAGCAACCGCTTATCTTTATAACTTTTGCATGAGTAGTTAAAGCCATCACTTAAGTTGAGAAAAAGATCATAAAAAGTTTGGGCAATTCACTTTCTTCCATGTGTTGACATAAACTGTTCACGTGACTGAACGGCTCTTGCATATTTCATCAAAATTCAGGCCCTCACAATATTCGTGTGTTTGCCTTTGAATGAGGAGAAATCGAACAAAAAAACTCATCAGACAATGATTTAACATTAATAAGGGTAAAATCATAAAAATTGTTGTGCAAGAAACGCTAACGATGATTTTTGATAGCGATATACGCGATCTTTTCAAGTAAAAACAACATACAAAGATTTAATTAACAGTTCTACTTACTTTAACAATTTCGCCCTAAAAACAGTATAAACGATCAATAAAATCCATATACGTATCTCTTAGATGTCTCAACTGCTAGTTTGTGCCCGCTTTGATTTGTTCTTCATGCCACCTTCGATGTCCAGTTCAGCGTAGTTCAGCGTCGTGACTCGCTGTACGACTAAAATTCCTTAGCCATCAGTTTACGCACCAAAATCTAGATCAAGTTGTTTTAGGACAAAACAATACGAAATGTAGAAAGCCGATTCTTAACGCATTGAAAGAATTATTTCTGCCACTGTTGTAGCTCAATTCACATGTTGCAAACGTCCGACATCTTTGACATTAAATGGAGCCCGCATTTTTAAGCAGCGGCTGCCACCAAACGGAAACATCGTATCGGGAGTCAGGAACCAGGAGCCAGGAGCCAGGAGCCAGGAGCCAGGAGCCAGAGTTCAGTGAACAAAATGACTTTCCGACATTCTCTGAGATTATTTTATTGTTATTGTATGCTGATAAATAATTTAGAATGCCAGATCTATTGGCAACTTTGTTCAGACCATGATTATAAATGATCCCATGTCTTCTCAAACTCGGAGATAGAAGTCGTTTTGTCTTCGTGTTTTGGAAAGAACTATTTTTTCTATTTTAGTTGCACGTGAAATAGCAGCGAAGTGAAGCCGGATGTTAGTGCAGACCAGTTCAAAGAGACAAATAAAGCGTGAGACATGTCCAGATCGGCTTGCGACAAGAATTCCATTTTTTTTTTTCATACTGGAGTCCCTTCTCCCCGGGGGAGTGTCCAAATTGCGTACAAATGCCGTACCCTGCTGGCACCAGATTTGACTGTCATTAACAGTGAATTTTTTCATCTCGCACGGTCTTTTGGGGGTCTTATAAAGCCTAACTGTGGCACTAATGTTTCCAAGTAGAGTTCAAAATATACCACACTTTCACATTGAGTTAGATATTTTTCTAAAACAACCTTCGATATGTTTAACACCATTCCCACATTCCCTCCGAGAGATACTTCAACTGTAATACTTCGATTTTAAATTTCTCTCCCTACCCAGGTAAGGGCAATTTTCTCGTCCTAGACATCGATCTCGGAATGGCCTTTTTGCGTACTCTTGGGCACCAAAACAAGTTTAGTGCCAAGCCGTGTGCCGTGCTGAGGCAGGCAGATGTTGAATTATGGACAGACACAACAATTAAGTTACAGTTTGTTTCTAAAGTTCCTCTCATACTCCGAGTAGCTTAGGACATACAGGGAACGCAGAGATCAGACCATCGCATCATGGAAAATTCTCAATCAGACTGTCATCGTAAAAATTGGTCGCGGTCGCTTACTGGATGTGGATGTGTTCGTTTACAGGAGGTTCCAACTACAAGCGCTTGACTTGATAATATATTTGGTGCATGTTTTGAATAAGTGATCGCTTATTGGGAAGTGGTCACTTAAGTTGGGTGGTCGCACGTAGGTTCGACTGTGCCTCGTTAAGCGAAAATTTGTTAAAATGTAAGAGAAATCCTAAAATTGTAATACAGTGGAAGCTCTCGTACGAGGGTGCCCTCGGGACGAGAAAAAGGTGTCCTTAACTGGATCTGGCCTCTTACAAGAATGAATCTCATATGCAGCATAGTTATGCAAGTGGAATTCAGCCACTTTAAAAGTGGTGTAAAGGTTAGATAACTGCTTACGGAAGCTCCTCCCAGCTACAAATTAAAACTGGTAATAGCAAAAAACTGTTTTTTAGTGTATGGTTACGCTGATGTTCTTGCCTCGTTGTAATTTACGTAAAAGCATACAATTTAGTTTGTATTTTCAAGTGTAACCGGACGAGTATGTGAAAAAACGGTAACTCTGAAACGGATGTATAAGAATGATTCATAACAGTGACAAACAGCCATATGACTGTGGACATGATATGAACAAAAAAAAAAAAACAACATTCAGAGGCGGATAAGATTTCTTTCGAGTGTCTGCTTAGGAAAGCTGTAAATCGAAGCTAACATCTAATTCGCCGGTAAACCCTTTAAGTGTCCGCGGCCGCCTACGGGAATGTAAAAATCCAGAGTTTGTGTGGGAGTTGAAACGGGATTTTGTGATGGCGGTCGTAAGTAGAACTATTCGCTATATACGAGAGTGTCCGTTAAGAGAACTTAATCTACTGTATGAATCCGCAAATGACAGCTTAAATGAGAAGTGAATATAGTGTATTAGTCTGTGTTCAAGAAACTGTTCTCTTATACCTTCCTTATAGCCAAAGAAGTCTAGTCGACTTTTTTTGCAATGTATTAGTGCCCCCTTTTGGGTCTTTTGTATTCCTCAGAAGTTTTTCCTCAACACGTTTATAAACGGTTATTATTATATTTTTGTAGTCAATAATATACCCAGATACAGATACCAACCTGTATAGTTGTAAGACTACGAGGATTAAAATACAACTAAGTAAGTAATTATACTCAGTGGTAAGTCATTAATTGTCTAAAAACTGCACGGCACGGTCTGACTACAAAAAGGGCTATTATGGACCATTATTATCATGGTAATTAATGTCAACATCGAATAAACTCAAAATTTCAAGTAACACGACTTTCACGACCTATTCTCAACACACCAGTTATAACAGGATATTGGCGCGTACAACAATAGATAGCGTATTCCGCATTCCGGAGTCCGATAGTCCGGCGTCACAGATTCCATCTTTTTGGCAGCGTCTAAAGTCAAAGATGGAGGGTGTTCGAGCAAGTGGTTGTTTTCTGTAGATATAGATGGATTGTCAGTGATCCTTCTTGTCCTTTGAGAATGATTTTGCTCTTTCTGACTACAACTTATTTCTAAGACTTCGAATAATGTTCGGTGAAAAGCCGACACTTTTAATTCTGCAATGTTTCAAGATGTTTCGATTTCATTACCTCGTCACGAAGTAACGCCACAAAGGACCAGACGAAACTGGAACAGCAAATCTGGACTAAAGCACCTGAGGGACGTGTATGTAACATTTATTCACTATCTTTTATCCTTGTTGGGTCTTGTTTCACCTACAAGTTGGACCGATCGAAGTTTTGAACTAACTCTTTTGCTCCTTGTGTTTACTCAAGCGTTCCATAAAATACCCATCCAAACGTCCATAAATAACACAGAAAACATGCCTCAGGTGACACGTTCTAACAATTCCACTATTAGTATCGATAATGACGCATCTGATTTGTGACTTCTCGTCAACTTCGTGCTATTTTTGTTTAAAAAAACGAATGTTACGTTTCTTCCAATTTTGGTCAAATGACAAATAAGCGTCAAGTCAGATGTACATAATACGTCATTATTGATAAAGTATGAGATTGCCCAAATATTTTGTGATTGATTTGATAACCTTAAAGATGTCTTTCAAAGAATATGTGAGAATTAAGTACATAGGTTGTTGCTCATGGGAGATGTTAGCCACTAAAATACCTTAAATTTAGGGTTTTTTCAAAAGAGTGAGAAGATGTCCTTACTTTAGGCTAAATAATAGGAAGAGATCGAATTAGAGAGTGAAAATAAATTACTGAGCATTAAGTTTGATAAACATAGAAGATGATAAAGTTGATTAGATTTGAAGTTGCTTTTCTTCTGGTTGAACAGCCAAACCAAAGTCAGCTAATTAATTATGCAAAAATGAGTAGATTTTGTCGTTTTTAGGGGGGGTCCCTGTAAATCCCAGGGAATTCAACATTGCGACCTTATTTTTTGTCGAGGTTAATATCTCACCACACCCATCAATTGTGCCAAGTTTGAGCGAAATCCGTGATTTGAGCATTATCACCTCCTTCCTGGTTCTCTCATGGACACACTCTTAAGTTATTCTAACCAATAGCATCTCTTACTTGCGGGCGTGAACAATAGAAACGTCATCATTACCCAACGATTCCATGCGGCTCCTGATTAAGAGATCGAGATTTTTTCTGGTGTACTGACTGTACATTTCAACTTTAAGAACTTTTCTATATATACGAGCGAGCTACGTATCAACTAGTCAGACCCAAAGCATCCTTAATGGTCCCTCAACTTCTTAGTTATAGGGCTCCTTAATCTGGGAAAAGGTAAATTCTAGTGCTTATTTCGGTAGCTAATCATTCAATACTAAAAAACAATAAGTTTTCTACCTTTCTTTTTTTTCTTGCGCTTACGTCTGCATTCGTTTTCACTTGACACAATACTCCTACACTGTATATGCTTGTGCTTGTCCTTCCGTTGGTCTTGAAAAACTAGGTTTGAAGTAAGAAAGGGACAAGATTGATACAACGGAGAAAACTTTACCCTGTAGGGTATTTTCAATACTCAAGTGAATAGGAGCCACATAATACCTACAGAGCATACACGTTCAAAATTGAATGCCACCTGGCAAAAATGACTGGAAATATTCCCTTATCTTTCTGCCTTCTTTTGACGTCCCGTAAAGGGCAGACTGAAAGGATTTATAATAAAACAATTTCGTAAAGTGGTTACGCTTTGATGCAACTCGGGGCATTGATGATGCTTTTGGTTAATTTTATCACAAATCCGGCTTTACAGGGAAGGGTGCTTGCGCGCAACAGCCTCGAGCCACAGTGTAATTTTCGAAGGTTAAGTTAGAGAGAAAAATTTTATCCATCTTAAAATGTATCGAACCTTCTAGCTTTACAAATACTGTCTCTAATTAATAATTAAATAATAATTATCGTAACATTTACTAAAATTATTTTGTCATCAAATCTTGTGAAGGCCTTTATCGGATCATCAACGACGACGTACTAGCAGGAGGATCCGTTCTGGTTACATGGAATCCAATCTTGAGGAAGGCGTGCCCATTTGTTCACGTTTACTACAGAGAACAAGGAGAAAGCAAATGGAACTCTGTTACTGTGACATCACAATTGCAAGAAAGGGCAGTGTTTAACAGCTACACTCTTTACTTAGAATGCTCGAGAAGATATCAAATAGTAGTTTCCTCGTACGCTGCTTTTGAGGAGAGGGACTTGAGGGACAAACAGATGTGGACTGTGAGCACAGGGAAAGGTAGCTAACGCAGAGCTTACGATATTACTTAAAGAGAAAAAAAAGTGACTCTAACTCTATTAGCCTCTATTATATTTTAATCCTCGGAATTCAGAGTTCTAAGCTACATCATTCCAACTAACTCTCACTAAATTTATTTAACCGAAATATGTCTGTGGAATTAATGAAAAGCTACTAGAGAAAAGTGATTTCTGGCTAATAGCCTGAGGAAAAACCTAACGGGGCGGAGAATCTGAGTCATTTGTGTGTAAAGTGTCTGAAAAGCCGGAGAGAGCCTTGAGTGAAATGTTAAAAGGAGAATGAGATGGGTTAAATAAACACCCAGCAGTAATAGTACCATGTGATATTCTTTTCCACATTTAAAAATGACAATTTTTCCCTCTAAAATAGAATAATATTCCTAAATATTTGTTTATTTCAGATGGAATGTGCTGCGATGAGGAAGAATGGGAAGTGAACCGTACTCGGCAAGGATGGATACTGAATTGCTCACGGACAGGAAGATACTTGTTTGGAATTTTACGGAAGTCCGAAGGCCCAAAAGGTGGCACTGACCTCTTGACAAAAGGAAAATGCTGCACACCTCCACTCGTTTACCGTGATGAAGTTCCCGTTTGCATAGAAGTCCAGTGGAATGCCTCGTTGAATAGGTCAGTGAAATGAGCTGGTGACTCGGTGCTAAATTAAAAATAGAATGTTAAGGTGTATAATGTAGTCAGTATGTTTCTAAATTACGAGCGAGCTCTGGGGGCACTGGGGAGAAAAACGGAGAGAGAGCTTGCAGTCATGTCTCAGGAATAGGCAAGTTTCGTATTCCCCGACGGCGCTGGGACGAGCACGATTGAGAGGCTAATGCGGGTCAACTTCTTTACAAAAACAAAAACAAACATAGGTAATTTGCCGCTGAGTCGCTGGAAAACGATAGAAATCTTAAAAATAGTAAGATTTCAAAGCTTAAACTTTACCAGTAAGACAAAGGGATATCTGTTGCAAACAATAAAATTGTGGGAAAAGCTGATCGCACTTAAAAGGAAAAAAATAAAAAGCGACGAAGCCAAAAGAAGAAGTAAACTTTTTAAGCTTGAAAAGGGTAAAGTTTGTTAAAATGACACTATTTCATCCCTTTTAATTATCTTACTTCTTAGCATTCTATTTTACTCTTGTGTATATCTATAAAAATGGAGTTTAAACTGCGGATTATATCGTCTGTATAAAATTCTGTGTTCGAGTTCTTGTCAAGTTCTTGTGCGTACGTTTTTCTCTATGTGACTGAATATTTTGATAAATAATGTAAACTAAATGTAAGCTTATTGTATAAATAAGCTTATACTATTTTAGTAATCTTAGTTCAAACCGATTTAACTTTCTTACAGTACAAGGTATTTATGCAGAACCAATTTGCTAAAAATCTTCAATGTTTACTCAAGTTTGGGCTTATAGAAGGTAATGTCACAGTTTTTCAATGACCATGAAATTCAGAGTCCCGGTAGTTAGTTAATCAATTGTGGCCCTGAAAAAATTTGAAGGAAAAAAAACTACGAATTTTTAACAAAATGCTTTTTTCGTGAGAAGGACTCTTAAACGCTGACAAACGTCAACTAATAGCGAAAACTATAATTTCTATATGTTTGCTTTCCTCGAAATCGCGCGCATTTACAAGGCCCTAAAGCGTTTTGCTGACTTGCAAGGACCCATCTGTTATAAGGATGCCCAAAATACAGAGATGAATCTCATAGTTTATTAGATATAATCCTTGTAAAGTTTGCTTATCATTTTCGCATAAATTATGACCTAAATTTGGAAACCGCTGAATTTCTCGAATTGGGTCTTTGCGATTTTGTTGAAACTCTGTTCAGCGCAAGGCACTAATGCGAACTATGTGTAGCCGAGAGATTTTCACGAAAAAATGCCGGCAACAGCAGATTTTCGAGTCAGACCTCAAAGGGGCGTGGCATTATAACCACGTGACATTTACTCCGATCGCCAAAAATTTTATGTTATATTGTAGATTGATCTATATGTTATCCATTTTTAGATTTTTAGCGTTTTGGCTGAGTTTGTGCTTTGGGAGTTGTCTATTGTTTCTAGTCTGTCATTATACGGCATTCTTGTTCAGCACGCGTGCAATGACCGCGCTTGGCTGACTTCCGAATGTTATATTGTAGATTGATCTATATGTTATCCATTCTATGTGTTAGACTTACGATAAAAGTAAAGGTGAGGATACCAGAGAGCTTCAAAGTAGGATGGTACCCCCCCAAAAAAACTGGGTCGAGTCACCTTAATGTTCATTCAAACACTCCACAGCTTGCAACTGGCCGGCCGTTATATAGGTGATTTTGGAAATTTTTTTAGCGGTTTCGCTAAAAGCCCACGCGTGCTTCGATCGTCCTGAATATTGAATGAGTGCAATTTATATTTCAAAACTGTGAAATACTGCATTCTGTCTGAGGTCTGTATGTTAAAAACAGCGCCTCATAGTACTGTTTCACCTCAGACTGTCACATGTGATGTATAAAAAGTATAAAAGGTTGGCTTACACGCCCCAAGATTTGTTAGCAAGATTTTGTAAAGCAAACTTGTCAAACGGAAAAAATTCTGCCGGATTTCCTTTCCAAGTATTTGTTTTCCAGGCCTAATCTAATACTGTGATCAAGAGCCATTATGGACGTTAAATGTGATCGAAGATGATTGCTATTTTTGGGTGTACATATAAAGGCCGTCAACTCGATGTAAGGTTTGGTGCACTCTTGGACTGTTAGCAAATTATTTTTCTCCCAAATCACTTAGCCTTAATCCCCCAAAACAAAAGTCACATGAATGTGCTCTAAAGTGAAATGATTTGTGGAATACAAGTTTATTGTTTGATTGAAATTACAAATTTATTAATGGGCGCTTCGCTTTTAGCCCTGGCTGAATCTATATATTAAGCTAGTTTGGGATCCTGCAACCTGATATTGTACATCCATGTATTGATTATTATTAAAAACTGAATCATTGGATAATGCAATTCTAGCATTTTGATTGGTTAAGCCGTTATGGTATATGAGCTAATATACCATGTTCTCCATATATGGTCGGTGTACGCGTCAGTTTAAAATTGGAAGCTAGCTGAGACTTTTTTTCGCAAAGGATAGAACGGCGCCCGAAGCAAATCGTTTTAATTCATTTCTTAGAATACTAGAAATGCAATTTCAACGAAAGAAAAAAAGACAAAAACAAACAAAAAAGCCACAAGAGCTTGTTTGAAAGTTTGTCGAAAAACACATGGAACTAAAGTACCTTGACCCGCTACGAAAGAAGACAAGTGTTGTTTCTTCATGATCGCGAAGCCATTCACCGATCGAGTCACTCGCCGATAGATAACTGCAGCTTGTTTATCCAACATCAAGAATATAAATCACAAGTAACCAGCTACAAATACAGGCTATGCAGCCATTCACTAGAGCAATCGAGGCGGCAGTATAGCTTCTTTTCTCGTTCAGCAAAACCAGCTTGTGGCTTCAAACAACTTCATAACAAGCGACGAGGTAATACCAGTAGTTTTTCTCCGTTGGTCTTACTTTTATAACTGCACCGAAAATCCAAATTCATAGTAATTTCGACGGCTGTCACTTAAAAATTCCTTTCCTTCTCATTATCTGCCAGGTTTTTTAAGCTGTTCTGCTGTGTAAAATCCTAGAATCACGATGAGTTTTTAAAAAACTAATGTTCATCGCACAATGTTTTGATTTTTCATTCATGCAGTCTAGGCGAGCCCGTTCGCGCGTTGACAGTTTTGATAGACGTGTGACATGTCAATAGCGGAAGTCCCTTGTCTTTTCCGGTTTGTTCTAGTCGGGGCGATTCAACGAGATTTTGTGGGCGTTTTTAATAAAACAATTATTCCACTCGGGCTTGTTGGATATGAAATGATTATAGCCAACTCGGCGCTATGCGCCTCGTTGGCTATCTATCATCTCATATCCAACGCGCCCTCGTGGAATAATTGTTAAATAGACAGCTGTCTAAACAGTGTATCCGCTGACCAGTATCGCCTGACCGTATCGCTGGCTCAGGACCCATTGAGTTCGAGTGTTTTTTGAAGTTATCCGCTGACAAGTTGTTACTTTTCAAATGATCGCAGGCTCAAGTTTTTTTTCAAAATGCATGTGAACTAAGTCGTGCTCATGAGCCGCACTTTTAAAATTTTGATTTCAAACTGCATGACCTCGGATCCAAAAATTCAACCGGCTTTTACATGCAGGGAAGGCAATCGCTTTTGACTTTTTTCACTATAATCATGCGGTAGTCACGTTCTACCTCCAATTTTTATGCTCTGATTGGTCAAAATTTGACAGGTGAGTTCATGCTGAAAATTTATGCAGCATCTGGAAACTTTTTTACTCATAGCTGAAGCTGGCAGAGTTTTGTGTCATCTTGTGATGTTTTTAACTGCCTTTTTCCTCTGGATGTACAAAATGAAATACAGCTGCTATCAAGATTCTTCTGTAATTCATGGCTGGATTGTTTATAGCGCTTTTGGTTGAGAAATGCACCGCATGTAAGAGTCATTGGAAATCCGATTTAGGATGGCATCGTTTTCAAAACTGAGCTTACACACTTGCCCTTGCTTGAGGTGTTTCTGGCCTCACTTGATGGTCCTCAGGAGCAGCATCTCGACTGGTAAGCCTGAGCAACTATTGTCTTCGATGTGTTTGTTTGTTTTTTTTTTTCCGGTTTTCTAAAGTGGAGCGTAGTTTATGCGGCTAGTTTATGCACGAGACAATGATCTGACCTACAATAGTATCAGGTTTAAAAAGCCTTTAAGACGTTTTTTGACCGCAATTATGAAGAAAACGTTCCGAAGAATATAGTTATGATTTTGGCTGTAAGAAGAAAGCTCTCAGCAATTTTCTTGCCTCGAGTTCATCTTGAAAAATAGCAAACTCCGGGAAGCCTTTTTTAAAACATAAATAAGCTTATGCTTACCTGACTCATGATTTTTAGAGCAGAGACACTTTACTCTCAATACTTTTCGTCGTGAATGAAAATTATTGTCTCTGTACATGTTTCACCGAATTATATTTATCTTTTTTATTGTTAGTACAGTAGCCACTCTCGCAGTTTTTATCGCTGCGCCGGTTGTTTTCAGTAGTACATAAACATCGCATGCAGGAGTACTCAAAATGCCGCGCGCCCGGGCCGCGCGTAAATATCACTCTCTTTTAAAGATTACACATAACAAAACCATGAACAGTTTTATAAATAAAGGGAAATAAAACCTAAACATAACAAATTCTCTATCATGTTGAAGAAAATTTGGTTTTGTCAAAACTGAGAACCCGTCCGGCTGCCCGAAAAGGTGATTCTGGGAATTTTTTTTATCGTTTTCATTAAAAGCCCATAATTATTACCCTGCATATCACATGGGACCAGATTTTCCAGCTGAAAAGTCCCGGCATGGAATTCTCTTCATGAAAACGTTTTATAATGTGTTCAATGCTATAATTTGTTGTGCAAAGGAAGCGCGTGCTTCGATCGTCCTGGATAATGAATGAGGGCAATTTGTCTTGCAAAATTGGGCAAAACGGCAGGGCCCAGTTGTTCAAAAGGTGCATAGCGCTATCCATCGGATAAATCTTTATCCAGTGGATAGCGCAATGGGTTTCCCTAATACTTATCCACTGGAAAGTGATTTACCCGGTGAATAGCGCTATCCAGCTTTTGAGCAACTGGGGCCAGAATTATACGTTTAAATAAGGCAAAAAAGAAAAAAATTCTGTCCGAAGTGTGTATGATAAAAAAAAAAAAAAACAGCACGTCATAGTACTGTTTACCTCAGATGTGATGAAAAAAAGTACATTTAAACGCTGGTTTACACGCCACCAGATTTGTCGCCAAGATTTACTTGTAAAAAAGTAATGTAAACTTGTCGAACACAAAAAATCCGGCCTGATTTTTTGTTTTGGCCCCCCTTCTAGATAGGGGAACGTGTAAATTGGCTGCCACCAAAGACCACAGTGTGTTTCCTAAAATTATATTTTGGGGCTGTCCAATTATCCATACTCTCTAAAAAGGAGTGGTTTGAGAGCTATGAAATTAAGGTGGTGGGCGACTGGGTTATTTTGTTTGGAAAGAATTTGTTTTCCAGGCCTAATCTAATGTGATCGAACTTGACTGTTATTTTTGGGTGTACATACAAGACTATTAACTCGATGTAAAATTTGTTTTACTCTTGGACTATTTTTCTCTAAAATCACAGCCTTTGCCTCAAAAGTCACATGAATGTGCCCTTAAGTTAACTCATTTGTGGATTACAAGTTTATTGTTTGATTTAAATTATTAATTTATTAACGGGAGCTTGGCTTTTAGCCCTGGCTAAATATATATATTATAACTGAAAGAAGACGCTGAGAAGTTTTTCCTGAGTGTCTTTTCTGGGTTGTCTTCAACAGTGTTCAGTTTTATTTATCAAGACAACTCACTCAAGAAGAACCATGGCATTGTGGAGTCCAAAGAGAAGAGAGAATGTGCATGCATTTGCTTGATTCCACGAGTGATTACATCAAAATAATGCGCTATGTTTAATAAGCGTTTTCAACAACAATACGGACGTCAACGTAAACTCAATTACCAGTACACCAGTACCCATCAGTATTCAGCTTGGCAAAAAAGTTGAACTTATTGCTAAAACACCAGAACTGTGGTCACGACACGGGTCGGTGATATGTTGAGTATTCAGTTTGGGGAAAATCACTTGGTGTGGTCTGAGGCCAGCTACTACTATTCTTGACATTCAGCTACAAAGGAAATATTTAACTTTAGTAAAATCCAACTAGTGGTCTATCATCGATGCTGCGTTCTGATTGGTTGAGCTACTACTAGCCTATATGTTATAGCCCACTAGTAGCGAAAAGTGCCGGCTTTTTGGCGGCAAAAAAGGATTAAAGGCTAGCTTTAACTAGCTAAAGTTGTTTTGTTTCGATATTTTTTGACCAACTAGTTGGATTTTACTAAAACAATTATTCCCCTCGCTCTTATGGCCTCTGAGTCAATACCCCATTCGGCCTTCGGCCTCATGGGCTATTGACTCAGAGCCCAATCGGGCTTGAGGAATAATTGTTAAGTATTATTCAAGCCATAAACCCGTGAATAAAAATTACTCGTAAAATTACTTTCATCGGCCTTGCAGTCCTCCGGCAAAACTTATCAAGACACAATTTAAGGGAACTGCTAAGAAAACTAAAACAAATTCTCTTTGGATTGAACTAAATTATGCAATGTGAAATTTTTTAATTTTCTATCATTGATATTTGATCCCGTATTCCGTTTCTGTTTCCTTTCCCGTGTCCGTTTCCGTTTCCGTGATTCCGTTTCCGTTTCCGGATTCCGGATTCCGCGTTTTAGTACTGCCGACATAGTATATCCCATCAACTGTAAAAAGTGCCAAGTACAGTATGTAAGATCTAATATAACTAAATTTCGAACTCGATTCAACAACCACAAGAGCAGGATCAATGCCCATAATTAAAGGTTTGACCAAGAGCCAAAAGGAAAAAGACGAGTTGGTTTATCGCCATTTAAACAGTGTCGGGCATAGAGGATTGGAGGAAATGAGCATACAACTGATAGACTGTGTCAAAGGGGAGAAGGAATTGAGGGAAAAAGAGGGTAATTGATGTTGCGATTCCAGTTAAATAAACTATCACAAGGTAGTTGGAATCTTGAAATTTAATAGAACAAAGACTCATCGGCTCCGAACAACTTACAAGCGAAGCGAATCTCTAAACACGCGGTTAGACTAACATGATTGGCTAACTTGAGTCACATGACATAAGCGGTTACGTGACATAATAACGTTACATCTTGCCTTCTTTGTTTTTTTTTTAAAACAAAAACTGGAACTATAGAAAAAAGTGAAACAATGAAAGGTCACAATAAAATGTTCGCATAGATGTTCACTAAAATGTTCAGGAAATATACGACAAATGTGCAGATGGGGGGGGCCGAATAAAGCGTCCGCTGCGTGTGACTGCATTGCTCTTTTGGCACTCGGCCAATGGGGCTGGACAGGTAGCTGGTGGTCCTGGCTCTGGTTGCTTTCTGGACAGTGCTGTAGGACGTCCTGCGCTGTTCTCTCCTGATACGGTTTCCGTGCTGGCTGTGGTTCGTGGACTGTTCAGAAATGGACTTGGAATTTCAACATCCGTATCTTCAGGCATGAACGGTTTCTTTGACTGTCGAAGATGTCTCCAGTTTCTTCGGAACAACCTGCCATCTTCTGTTCTAACAACGTCGGATCTGTCATCTACTTGTTGTTCAACTTGTGCCTTTGTCCATCTCTGCTTTCCATCGGAGGCTTGCGGTTTCATGCGTACAACATAACCTATAATGAGGCTGGGAAGTCCTTTGACATTTTGATTGTAATAACGTGTCTGAACTTCTTTTCTTTGTAGCTTCCTCTCTCTGACATCTGTGATTAACTGGGGTTTCAGGAGTTTCTTTGAGGTCGGCAGCAGTGTTCTGGTGCACCTGCCAAACATTCTCTGTGCCAGTGAACTCTTCATACCTTCAGTTGGGGTGTTTCGCCAGTCAAGCAGGGTAAGATGAAAATCTGAGCTTGTACTAGCAGACTTCTTCATCAAATTTTTTGCTGTTTTGACTGCAATTTTCACTTTGCCATTTCTCTGCGGATAGACCGGGGAACTGGTAACATGCTCGAACTCGTACATTACTGCAAAGGCTGAGAATTCATTTGAAGAAAAGGGTGGACCATTGTCACCGTGAAATGTATCTGGAATTCCATGGGTGGAAGCTTTCCAATCACTGTGGCTCCTGTCTTTGACTTGTGTAGCTCGTCAATCTCAAAATAATCAGAGAAGTAGTCAACCGTGCAAAGGTAGTCCTGGTTACCAAATGTGAAGATATCACAGCCAATCTTTTCCCAGGGATGCTGTGGGGTTTCATGGCAAATAAGGGACTCTTTCGGTTGGGCAGACTGAAAGGTGTTGCAGGTTTCACATTTTGAGATGAATTCTGTCACTTCTCTGCTCATGTTGGGTCAATAGACCACTTCACGTGCCCTTCTTAAACAGCCTTGAACACCGATATGGGATCGGTGGAGCTTTTCCTTGATCTTGGTTCTTAAACTTTTCGGGATGACACATTTGGGACCCTTGAAAATAATACCATCTTATCTAGCCAACTCGTCCTTGACTTTGAAGTACTCATGCAGTTCAGGGGGCAGTTTCTTACTTTGGCTAGGCCAGCCATTTAGAATCGTCGCTTTAAGAGTCTGCAGGACAACATCTTTGGCACTTTCTTCGCGGATTTCTTGGATCTGTGGCTGAGATTTTGATAGGAAATTCACAGAACGGACCCTCTCTACTTCTTGATCTGCCTTTCCTGGGTAGTGTTCCTGTGGCAAGTATGCTCTGGAAAGTGTATCGGCAAGATACATCTCAGGACCACGCCTGTACTTGATTTCCACATCATACTGCGTTAACCTCATCACAAGACGCTGTAAACGTTTTGGAGCAGCAGCCAGAGGTTTCTTGGCGATTATCTCTAAAGGCTTGTGGTCTGTCCACACGGTAACCTTTCTGCCGTATATACATTGGTGATTATGCTACATGCCAAAGACTTGTGCAAGTAGGTCCTTCTCGATTTGTGAGTAGTTTTGCTCAGCTTTCGTGAGTGATCTGCTAGTATAGGTTACAGGCTGACCTTCTTGCATAAGGGCGAAGGCAATTCCTTTCTCTGAGGCATCTCCTTCACCCTCAACCGGCTCACTTGGAGTGACGAACTTTAAAACTGGAGCAGTGGACACAGCTTTCTTGATCTTTGTAAAGGCTTCTTCTTGCCCCTGAGACCACTCCCAAGGAGCATCTTTATACGGAAGTCTGCGGAGGGGCTCCGACATATCAGACAGGTCTTCTAATAACCTTGAGAGGTACTTAACTCACAGGTAGCCCAAGTTCGAAATATGAGCATCGGCATTGTTGCGTAACATTCAAAATATAAGGATTAGCATGGGAAAAAAAACCTATCGTTTCTATAACCTACGAAAATGAAAGGATTTCAATAAAAAAACAGCTTACCTTTGCTTTTCCACCACTACGAGGCTTGACACCCATTCAGTAGGCTCCTTTACTTTCCGGAGCATTTGTAGTCCCTCCAGCCGGTCTAGTTCAGACTTCAATTTACCTTTGAGTGCGAATGGGAATCGACGGGGTGGATTAATCACTGTTGTGACTGTTCCATCAATTTCAAGGTGCAGTTTCCCTCCATACAGCCTTGTCCTTTAAACACTTCTCCAAACTCTTCTATCACTTGATTTAGGGTAAGATTCTGAGTGTCAGTGGTAACTTACTGAATGTTTTCTTGGTGTACTGTTACCAGATTCATTTGCTGAGAAGCACGAGATCCAATCAGCAGTGTGTAATTGCCTTTCACAACAACAAATTCAACATTGTACTTCTTGCTCTTCTTTGGGTTACGCATGCTCACTTTACATGTTCCTAAAACAGGCAAAGTAAACTTGCTATACATCTTCAAAGTACGGTCAGTCTCAGTAATTAGTGTTCCGGGGGGCACATATTTCTGAGGTAAGACATTACATGAAGCACCCGTGTCAATCTGCATTCGGATACTTGCTCCTGCGATTTCCATTGTCGCAAAGATTTTCTTCTCAGGAAGGTTGTCTTCGCTGATCGCATGTACATTTCCTTCAGATGAGTCAAAATACACTGACAGCAATTCTTCTTCGGAGGAATCTTCTGAGTTGACCATGTTGACACCATTCCGTGGTCGGCTAGTTTTACCAGAAGTACTTCTGCACATTTCAACAAAATGATTTGGTTTATTGCATGCACTACAGAAGTTTCCAAATGCAGGACACTTGGTACGTTGCTTGACGTGGCTTCTTCCGCATTGTTTACAACGCTTTAACAGGTCTTCCTTAGGTTCAGGTAGGGACTGTTTTTGCATCTGACCATTGCTGCGTCGTTTCGGTGGCGCTTTCGACTTTGTCCGCTTGTCTACTGCATTAACATTATCTACTGGTGTCCCTGTGCTCGATGACTGCCCGCTGATGGCCTTAAGATGAGCGCTGGTTGCTTCGGCTGATCGACAGATATCCAAACACTTTTCAAGCGATAATTTAGGCTCTTGTAACAACTTTCGTCTAACACTATTGTCGGCGATTCCACAAACAAGGCGGTCGCAGATCATCTCATCTTTTAACTCTTCAAATTCACATGTTGCCGCTAGCGCTCGCAGTGCGGCAACGTGAACATCGATTGATTCGTGAGGCTCTTGTTTGCGATCGTTGAACTTGTAACGTTCGTTGATAACATAAGAATGACGGTCAAGTTTTACTGTTCAAAAGAAAAAGTGTCGGGTATACACACTCGCGCGCTAACTTGAGAATTTTTTTGTAGTCTTTTGTCTGATGTCACGTCATTTTAACTGAATTTTGTAATACGACGCTTGTAACGATTTTTCAGTCACCTTCAAGAAGAGTGCTAAATACACTCGAAATATAGGTGTCATACAAAAAGGAAATGTGTCGTATCCTCATAATTATATATATATATATATATATATATATATATATATATATATATATATATATATATATATATATATATATATATATATATAGCCGGATTTATGAAAACCGCACCAGCGGGCTCCTGGAGGCCACACACCTTAAACTGACTCAGCTAAAGCACATATTGCCAAGAAACTCAGCTCTTACCCATGGTTCTCTTAAGGTGACTCTATTATTGCTTCCTGATTAGCAAAAGAAACATTCAAGTCCATCAAAAAGACACTCTGGACTTGACCATACGCTCTAGCTGCTTGAAGGCTCTAAATAACAGAGGATGCTTGAGACTTGACCAAGTTCTAAGCAGAGAATTCAAGGTTAAATCACCCCCTCGTGACTTCCTCCAACCCCCCAGCCTAGCATGTGCTTCAGGGGAATGCTTTCGTTGGCCAATGGGCCTCAAACATTAAAAGAATTTGACATGACAAACTAAAGGCAGACATGACGGGTGCACTGACTCTCCCAGAGCAAGACTAACGGACAGTACCAAGCTTTTGTAGCGCCCTTTCCCCCACCAGGGATTGACATGGAGGCCCCTTCCAAACCCATGGCGCGTTAGCTCAGGGACTGAGCTTGACAATGAGACCAGGCAGGACAGCAAGCCCCCTATGTTTTTTCTCACCGCAGTGACCAGAAACCTGGCTATCGCTAGGCTCCTGGGCTAATATTCTGGTCCGTTTTGAGGTATGTTTTCAAAAATTCGGCTGGATATATACCTGGACTTTTGAAAACCCGCTTAGCAGAAACGTTAACTCATTCTACTGCTTGGCAATTTAAAACAATAAAACATTATTCAAAGGCCGATTAAAAACCTTTATCTGACGCCAGGCAGTAAGTTAGTGGTTACTAGAAGCATTTCAACGAATTTAAATTTAAAATGACGCAAATTTTAGAACATTTATTTAGTAATTCGACTCCGTGAAGTTTCAAACTGATGTCATTCCAGTCTAGAAATTTTAAAGTTGAGTCAACCGTAGCGAAAAGGTGCCAGGTTAAGGCTTACATAAAAATAGTTAGCAAAACACTACTTTTTTCGCGGTCCAGTAAACGACAGGGTTTCGCAAGGAATGGACAACAAACTGAATGAAACATAATACACAAATTATCACCTGATTCTTATCTGCAAAAACCGGCCTTTTGGTTCAAAACCATTACATCCCGCTGAAACTAGACCTAGGTATAATTTTCCTGAGTCGAGAGTTGCTTTTCCAAGGTACAAAAAGGAAACCTAAACACCGAACGAAGAAACGTTTTATGGCTGGCACAGAATATTTTGGCGAAACAACTCAACCACACGACCACATACCTGTCAACACCATTCGGAAATCACACAATTACATTCTTTCGGGGCACTGATAAGACTATCAACAACCACGCATAATGTTCTGACGTTTCAACACGAGCGAAATATCATCGAATAACTCTTAAAAACTCAGAAAAAACTTTTCTCTTACACTCGTCTTATTCGAGTTCCCGGATGTACAATTACACGGTCGGCAGACCAGCCTATATACCTTGTTTTCACACCAGAAAAAAAAAAAGTCTTGGCCTGGGTCAAAGTTCACCTGCAATGTCGCTCTCGCCTAAGTCATTTTACTCCCAAGAGCCTGTTCCCGAGGCCAAAAAATTAGTGTTCGGCTTAGAAAAGCGAACAATACCGTATCTTTCTCTCTCAGCCCGGATCAGGGTGATAGATCCGTTTAACCAAATGAAACGAGAATACAATACGATATTGTACGATACAGACTCTGCGAATCGTAATAACTTTGTCGCATCTCAGAGCTTTGCATGATTATGCTCTCCGGGAAACTTTTCTCAAGGTGACCAACAACGGAATGTTAACTGCTAAATGGCACCGAAGCCAGCTTTAGGCGCGCACTGATTTAAATTCAAATAACTGTCACTTGTGTTGAATAGAAAATTGTGGGTAGGATCGAAAGAAACAAAACAAAAAACAGATGGAGGGAGTGAATTTGGGGGGGGGGGTAGATAGAAATTCGCGAAATTCTGCCTACATGCAGCCACTTGTACACAAATCTCAGTAAAAAAAGTTCTTAGACAGGGGAAGTTACGAGAAATTACAAAATGTTTGCTAACCCGGTTTTCGTAACTCCAATTGAACTCCAATTATGTTGTTTGCAAAGCAAAATTGAGTAGAATCGAGTCACGTTAAAGTTGCAATCACTTTTCGGGCAATAGTTCTGGGTTTTGCCTGATATTTCAATGTCACATATTAGCCTGTCATCACTCTATAATGACTTAGAGCATATGCAAAGATTATGAGGATGATTATACCTAGAAAAGTGCCCCGTTTTTACCAAATGAGCTTGCCAACAATAAACATGCTTGCATTCGAGAATCATGAGGAGACATTTCACTGATTGAACGAAGATAGAGTTTCTCCTTTGAGATTTATGTGTAATTATCTCAATTGAATAAGTGCCCAAAGTCCAATTATGTTGCTTGCAAAGTAATATCAAGTAGAATCGAGTCACTTTAAAGTTGCAAACACTTTTCAGGCACTAGTTCTGGGTTTTGGCTGATATTTCAATGTCACATATTAGCCTGTCATCACTCTATAATGACTTAGAGCACATGCAAAGAATATGAGGATGATTATAGCTTGCCAATAGCAAACATGCATACATTCGAGAATCATGAGAGACATGTCACTGATCTTTAACGAATTTAGAGTTGCTCCTTTGAGATTTATGTGTAATTATCTCAATTGAATAAGTGCTTAAACTCCTGGTGAATTATGTTGTTTGAAAAGTAAAGTCAAGTAGAATCGAGTCACTTTAAAGTGGCAAACACTTTTCAGACAATAGTTCTGGGTTTTCGTGCCAACAAACTCTCTCAATATACCCTGGTCCCAGAGGTTTTTCTTGATTTTTCTTCGCGAAAGAGATCAAGAGCAAACCGCGAAGCGGCGACAACGAGTCGCGAAAGCGACGAGGAGAGAGAGAAAAACCTCTGGTTACCTTGGCCTAGAATCTCACTTTCATGCTGACGACAGGGTCAGGATCTGACCCTCGGGCTTTGATTGGTTGATAGTTTTTCAAACACGTAAACCAATTTGATTGGCTCGTTTAATTGTAACTACCGAGGGGACGCTGAGGATTTTCACACCTCATTTTGCCTCTCTCTACTAGGGAAGAAAATTGTTTGTATGCTGCACTCGCAATAACATTTGCACGGAACCAAGGCACGTAGAGGCACGCCATGGATGTTGTTCCTGAAAGAATATTCGAAGAAATTTTGACCTCGGTACTTAATGAGCGCTTTCCCGAGTCTCACTGAGCAACAAAAGAAAGCTTTGTTCGCTGCGTTGAGTCGAAAGGATGTGTTCACCATTTTATCAACCGGACATGGAAAGTATATTTTCTGTTACAATACTGTCATTCCATTAAATAAACTAACTTGTTTAGGGCAGCAAAATAAAAAATCTCCGAATACGGAATGAAAGTTTCCTTGTAGGAAAAAAAACATACAACTTTGTACAAGTGCGTAATCATTTTCGGTGCAGCTTGATTTTCCTGCGACGCCCAAAAAAGATCTAACCAACGTTATTTTTGGCATAGACCTATTCGGCTAACTCAATGTTGTACCCAATTCAAATCTCCCGGGGATAAGATTCTTTGTGTATTGCATTTGCATTATAATGTGGCATTCACATTTAAATGATATGGAAATTCCTGAAACAAAACGTTTTATTCCCAAAGGGTTTGAATTGGGTACAACATTGAGTTAGCCGAATAGGTCTATTGGGCCAACAAAAACCTCTGAAAGTACATTCCGAACCTTAAGGGTTTGTTGTGCTGCATGACTCTTCCTAGCGTCGTTGTTCCACAAAAAAAGGAAATGGAGCCACCAAACCAAAATGCGAGCCAGATTGCCAGAATACATATTAATATTACTGTTTTCAGGGGAATGCCCGCGAATCGACGCGAACGGCGCGCCCCGCAGAAGTAAACAATGTAATAAGCGCGATTGATAGACTCTTGCAAACTTTACAACTTCCCGCTGGCACACTGCCGACAGAACAGATGACAATGTTTGTGAAAAATCCTTGTTATTATACCCAAATAAATTCTGCAAATCCTGCAGCATTTGTTTGGAACAATGTCGGTTTCTTTATAAAGTGGTCTTCTTATTCCTGGACTCTTGTCGCCCATCGTTAACACATGCTTTAGCTTGACCCGATTAACAAATCACTCTTTACCACCCAAGTGAAGATGGTTTGTTCATAACATAATTTTCCCAGGTCTACCCCCACTTAAAAAAATAGCGGCTGATAAGCACGTGTTTGCTAAGTTGCCATTGGTGACTCTTTTTATTAGCAATTTAACGCGTTTGACAGCTGTCGTCTGCATGAAAGTGAGATTCGAGGCCAAGGTAACCAGAGGTTTTTCTCTCTCTCCTCGTCGCTTACGCGACTCGTTGTCGCCGCTTCGCGGCTTGCTGTTGATCTCTTTCGCGAAGAAAAATCAAGAAAAACCTCTGGGACCAGGGTACTCTCAATATTGCGAAAAAAAGTTTTGTAATATTTCATCCTCATCAAAAAAAGATAAACAATTCCTTGAACATTGAAATAGATGGTAAGCCAATTAATCAACAAAAAAGTGCTAAGTACTTTGGCATTCTCATAGACTGTCATCTCCATTGGAAAGTACAAATCCAACAAATTTCAAAAAAATATATATATATCTAGGGGCATTGGTGTCCTATGTACGATTAGACATTTTGTTGATTCAAAAACATTAGTTCAATCATACCATGCCATTATACTTCCTATTTCTCCCATGGCTGTATAGTTTGGGGCAACACTTATGACCATAAAATTAAACCACTTCAAATAATACAAAGGAAAGCAACCCGTTTAATACCTTTCTCCAATTTCGATGCACATACAAGTCCTTTGTTTGCTAAGCTTAACCTTCTTAAACTCCAAGATCATATTAAGCTTCAAACTCTCTTTTTTATGCACCAATTTGATACTGGCAAACTACCAAAGATTTTTGATTCGTTTTTTGTTAAAACATCTTGCAAACATAATGTAAATACTCGCTTTGCATTTAGATCTACTTTCTATCTTCCAAAAACTCGAACAAATTATGGCAAATTTAATATTTGATTCAATGGACCTAAATTATGGAATGAACTCGTTGAAAGATTCAAGTGTCGTACTTCCAATCAATTTAAAAAAGAACTAACTTCGCATTTCGTTAGACTCTATTAATCTTTACTGATATTTTGATGAATTATATTTATTTATTTTTTGTTTTGTTCTGTATATTTACTTTTGTGCAAAGTTATGATATTTATGTGTACCAGTGTATTTGTTGTGCCTCTTTTCTGAGTTTCACGCTTTTAATTATCAATAATTACGGTCACCCAACTATTTTAGCTTTATAGTTATTTTGGGTGTACCACTACTGTATGTACTGTTTATTTATTTATCTATAATTATATTCTCGTAAATTCTTTTAGTTGTCTAAAGTAGTAGAAATCTGAACTGTTGTTTTGCCTGATATTTCAATGTGACATAGTAGCCTGTCAGTCTCTCTATAATGATTTAGAGCACATGAGAAGAATATCAGGATGATTATACCTAGAAATTTTGTTTTTTACTAGACGAGCTTGCCAGCAAGCATGCATGCACGAGAGAATCATGAGAGACATTTAAGTGATCGTTAACGAATTTAGAGTTGCTCCTTTGTGATTTATGCGCAATTATTATATTATCATTTAACGCAATAAAGTACTTTCAGTTCTGTACTTTTCTTTCCCTAGAAACTGTAGCTGGGCTACCTGCCCAGACGGATATTTCCTGAAGGGTTTTTATTACTCAAATGGCTCTTCGTTTAGCAACATTGAACATGCAAGTTGCTGCAGGCCAAGAAATTTTAAAAATGCACATCTGGATTGCCATGGAAAAAAGCGGATTTCTTTACAAAGTCAGAGATGGGACACTTGCGAAGCTTGGTCCTATCTCGTTGGCTTTTATGGAGTACTCTGTGAAGGATCGGCTTGTGTTGAGAAGTTCAGATGCTGTAGAATGCCCCCACCAGGTAAACACTGTCGGTTAATTATTTGCGTCTTAAACTATGTAATAAAAATAATGAATGATATTCGCTTGCTTGTATTGCGTTGTTATTGTGTAATAGGCCTAGATTTCAATATATATAACTGCTAAAGAGCTGTCTCACTAAGATGCGCTAAAATTGAATCACAATCTGAAAAAGAGCTGCAAAATTATTTCCCCCTAGTAGCTGTACTACTCTTGGGAGACTCTTCTTCACACTTTGTTTAAATACTTCACGTTCCGCTGGATTAAATATCGCTTTATTTAAGTTACTAAAATATCTATTGTGAGTTGATTTCTTGAGTTATCATCCCTGAGAAGCTCATTGGGACGCAAGGTTTACCGGCGAAATAATTGCAAAGTTTACAAGAAGAGCATGAAATCTCTTCTGGCTAAGACCAGAAGAAGGGAATTCAAAGTCTGCTCCTAACTGGTTCGACAAGACTGCACCCACTACCCCCTCTCCCCGCCCCCGTTTGTCCTTCAGATTGTAGAAGTTGCCTGTAATGATTTCGTCTGTGAATATTCCGACAAGGGGTCTTCAGTAATCTGCGTGCAGACGTCTCCTATTTCCTTTGCTTAAGGTTTCCGTAGTTTTCTTATATTAAATGCCTTTTTTCCTTTTAGAGATGTTAATCCTTGGTCACTGGCTGCTAGATGGAAAGGATCAAAATATAACGTTAGTCATGTAAATTGCTTTTTTAAAATATAGCAGGCAGGGAGCTTGTAAATAGGAGCAAATGGAAATCAAAGAAGGCTGACTTCGTTCAACCGAAGACCATTCTTCCTTGTCATTCTTACATGATGTTTCTTAGTTTACTGGCTTAAGTCCTCCGCCTAATTTTTCATAACCAGCTGGCATGGGTCCGCGTTCAGGACATAAATATACCGTTAACGATATGGCACTTATGTTCCAGGTTATCGAAGGCTGTTATTCACCTCGGCCTTCGGCTTTGGTGGGTAACATTCCCCTCGATCTGCATAACTCTTCACATCATACGAAAGGCGAATTCAATGATTGTTAAATATACAGCCCGCCAAATGCGGTATATATCTTCTAATTAATTTTTCCTTTAATGTAGCTTTAGCAAATCACTGGATTTTGTCGAAGGATGGTGTTCAGGTAGCGCCGCTCCTCGTTTTGTTCAACAGTCATTCGCTACTGCCCCAGCAGTTCATCTTAACGGCAGGAGTTTTACCATTTGCTGCTGGATAAAACAAATGCGGTTATTATTTGGAGAACAGACGATCTATAGCGATTGGCATGATCCATGGCAGTTTCAGCTTACCATCGTTGGTGATCAGCTGAGATTTGCGCGCCATAGCCACGGCATTATTGAATGGTGGTACTTTAAAAGTACGAAACTTTCATTTAGTACCTGGACGCACCTTGCAGTCACCTGGAACCACGTGACAGGTAATGTCTACCTTTACGCTAACGGCATCATAGTGGGTAGCAGATCGTTTACCCCTGGGACTAAGTTTTACCCACTTACGGGCAACCCTTACAAGATTGCCAACGACGGTCACAAAGAAGATCACCAGTTCGACGGATCAGTGATGGACTTGTATGTTTTTGGCACCGCTCTGTCCCGTGATGAAATTGCCAAAGTAAGAGGTAGGTAAGAAAGTTCAAGTCTTGAAAGACATTTGAAACTCTCAAAGAGCTTTCAATTCTATCTCTGTTTGCCCAAAAACATTTGATTTCAATTACGAAAGTAATTAAATCACAGGTAACCCAGGCTCACTGTTTGTGTCATGTAAAGGTTTCATAACATGAGTGAATATAGATAACATATGGGGCGACGTTAGTTTGCTAGAAAATGGAAATAAAAATCGATGAAACTTACCACGTGGCGAGTTGTTGTCCTTAAAGGAGCTGTGTCACAAAATTCAGCCAAATTAGCAAATTAAAAAATGCCCCTTAAATTAAGAGAAACATGAAAATAGCCGCTTAAAACTTTAAAAGAAGGTTAAAATAACACAACAGAAACCACAGATGTCACGGATGGGAAAAACGGAAGAAGATTGAAACGGATTGAAATTAGAATTTTTTTAAAACTGTTCAGCCTAACAGTCAGTTTCAACGTTGATCCCTGCTGCTTGCAACTTCAAAAATAATGCTCAGGAGACATATTTGTTTGTCTCGGGTCTCTGATTTTGTCATTTACATGTTATTTCTTTCCTTACATTAGGTTCCATAGCGACTGAGGGCGAGTAATTGGCAAAATTAAACAAAATGATCTAGACTGCCGTGACACAGCCCCTTTAATACGCACACGAAGTTTCGACAAAAGTAGTTTGCTTCATCTTTCCTACATAGTATAGTGGCAACTTGGGAGGTTGACGGCAGCGTCGCGGCTCCGATCGACCCTAAACTAGCACGATTTTTTTTTCGCGAAAATCGAATCCAGCCGCTGAATAGAGACGCCAGGCTCGTGAAACACGAATTTCTCGAAACCCTGAAACCTCGAAGCATCTCAAGCTAGCAACGCGAAGCCAGCAGGCTCCGTAGAACTCTCATGTTGATCTTCTAAAATGGCGGCCCGAAGCCGTTAGGATCACAACTGGTCCAACGGAGCTCGGGGAGCCTAGTGACGAGTATATTAAGTCCCCGTGGAGGGAAGGGAGTCCCAGAGTGCTCAAGGACTTAACTCATCGTCCGGCTACACACTTTCCTCCGCAGGGACTTATTATACTCGTTACCAGGCGCCCCGAGCTCAATGCCATTTTTGAATTGGAACAGTTGTGATCCTAACGGCTTTGGGCCGCCACTTTAGAAGGTTAACGTAATCTACGGAGCCTGCTGGCTTCGCCTTGCTAGCCGGAGATGCTTCATTGGTTTCAGGGTTAAGACAAATTCATGTTCCACGAGCCTGGCGTGTTTATTCAGCGACTGGATTCGATTTTCGCGAAAAAAATCGTGCTGGTTTAGGGTCGATCGGAGCCGCGACGCTGCCGTCAGCCTCCTACCTTGCCACTCTACTATGTAGGAAAAATGAAACAGACTATTTTTCTCGAAACTTCGTGTGCATATTAAGGACAACAACAACTCGTTACATAGTAAGTTTCATGGGTTTTTATTTCCATTTTCTAGCAAATTTCCTGACCTAAACTTTGCCCAAAGTATATTTTCTCATGTTATGAAACCCGTACCTGACACAAACAGTGAGCCTGGGTCACCTGTGGTTAAATTCATTACGATTCACGTATTTTATCAAACCGTGATTTGGTAGACATCAAAAGTCTGATTAAAGCCCGCATCCACTAGACTCGGCACGCAGGGTTTGCTTTACGAAGAATTTGAGAAGAAGACTTTCTGACTTTCCAAGGCTGATGTCCGTGTATTACGGGGTCCGTAATATTATCACTACTTTATTTCTGAGGCAACAGCCACCTAATGAAAAGAGACAAGTAAGTATATAAATTAATAAAAATAAGAAGAAAATTGTCTTCTTTACTGTAAAAAAAAAGTATACGCGATTCCAACAAAAAACAGTTTTAACTTTCCTAAAAAGGTGCTCATATGATTGTATTATCACCCTTGCTTCAGTCTCAAGATCTTTAACATCCCTTATTTTATTCAGGTGTTCCTATAATTTTGAATAAAGACAAGGAAGTAGCAGGAAAAACCGTTGTTATCATATGGGAACCACCGCTGAATGGGGCGTGTTTTGTCCTGGGGTATAAAGTCTACTACAGAAAGGTTTCATTGGCAGAGAATAGTCGTTGGAGCTCCGTAACCGTGGACAAAAATTGTACGAACCACACCTTGCACCTGGGTTGTTCGAAGGAGTATGAAGTCTCAGTTACTTCACTTAGTGCTGCAAATGCAAACACTGACAGCACTGAGAGCAGTTTTGGTGACAGCGGGATATGGAACTTCAAAGTTAGGAGAGGTAAGTTTGGGTATAATTGCTGCGGAGCGACCGTAGGGAGCGAGCAGCAACATAATCAGGATTTAAAGGAAATATATAAGGGGCGACGAATTCTCGAATTAATCACTTTTTACCACAATGCATTGCATTTAACCACACTTCTTACGACAATGCTTTGCATTTAACCAGAGTGCATTGCGCCACGAAAAACTCAAATAAAAACAAGGGGAAGTTGGCATCGTTCGCTGCCCAGACTCAGAGTTTTCTTTGTAGCAAATTTTCTACAGCACGGTTAGAGGTCTTACCAAATTTAAGACACGCAGGAGTCTTTCTTACGATGGTTAACTTGGGGATTGAATTTCAACTCAAGAGCCTTTGACTCGTCCAGGTGTTAAGCCTGACGAGAAGATGAGCATTTGCTCTTCGACTCGTCAACACGGGGGATATACAAATTTCAGCTTGCTAGAAGGTGATGTAAAAGTGAGAAAATGTCATGACATGCTATTCTTAAGAACCTGTATGAGCCGAAAATGGATGCGATTTTGACTATTCGCTTCAAAATAACAGCGGGAATCGAGATAACAAAACATATGTTTTGTTTCCTACGTTGCAGACGATGACGTGTATCGGCGTTTTGAAAAGCATAATTATGTTCTTTCATTCATTCATTGCCATGGAATATGCGTTTACATTGTTTTTTACTGTTAATAGCTCGATTAATGCGGCTGGCGATCATCATGCCGGCGGAAGTTTCATGGAAAAGGCATTAAATTAAAGACTTTTCCCAAATTACGTAATCAGTCTTTGTGGTGTAGTGGTTAGGTGTAGTCGCGTCGAGCCGATGGTGCCAGGTTCGAGTGCTACCGAACTCTTTTTTTCCTTCTTTCTTTTTTTTTCCGTCCTGTGTTTCCGTTTTGTAATGTTGTTTTCTATAAATATATAGCTAAATAACTGTTACTTAATAAAGTGCAATAAACAGCAAGAAAAGTTTCGTGTTTCCAGAGAAAAGATAGTACACCGTATATTAAATATATGGATAAACAATCTGAATTTCTATCATTTCCTACAATTTACTGTGGGAAAACCATAGTTGATAACCACTTGATCATTTTCTAAACAACGTTCCCACAGGTTCTTTCTATAGACTGATAGTAATTATTCCAGTACTTTCCAACATTTAAATAGGACATTCAATGTCATTTTCGATTCTTTTAAGTCCCACTGCCTAACTAATGCCAGTATCAACAGAATGTGCCGCAGCGTTTTTATCTTTTAGATACCCTAGTTCATAGTTATTGATTTCTCAGCCCAGGACAAGCTTCTTTGTAATTTGGTACTAATTTATCTCATGTTTACATAAAAAGGAGGATGCATGATCCTTAAAGGGGCTGCAAATTTTCTTTTACTTTTAATGCAAGACTTGTCGGTCGCGTCGGTTAATAGGATGCTTAAGCAACGACGACGCGAACGCGAACGGCAAAGAATTAATAGGGGTAGATTAGAAAAACAACAACAACTTTGCAGCACACTCTTTTGTAGATTTCTTTGCAGTCACTGCACGACTACGATGTGAAACTGTCTGATTTGACCAGAATTTCAAGTTTCGGGGAGGACTTGAACACAGGACAACGACTTCCCTTTTCTTTTTCTAAACTTCGATACATGAGTCCTTTAGAATTCAAGTCCAGAAAAATTCGCCATTTGAAGTTTGAAGCAGCGCGAATTAACTTTTCAAGTGAATTTTTCGTAGCCGTCACCGTCGTTGTCGCTTAAGTTGCCTGATTTAGCCTTTCGTAAACAGCTAGCTCTTTTTACCTGAAACAGGTGGTCCCTTTCACGTTATTAGAAGACTGGACTCTTAGTCTATCTTCCTATCTCATCAAAATGTTCGTGTCACGGAAAATGGTAGAAATGTGACGGTGGCGACGATGGTGAAGGAAAACCACTTTTTAAAATCTCAAACACAATGGAATGGATTATTTTATTGCTTTATAATGATGTTGGGAATTAATAGCAATGTGGCGTTGGTGGTGGTGGTGGAGGGAAAACAATAGAGATGCAGTGGTGGTGGTAAGGGAAAACAACTGAAATGTGGTGGTGGTGGTAGTGGTGGAAGAAAAAATTGAAATGTGGTGATGGTCTTGAGAGAAAAAAGAGAAATGTGGCGGTTGTGGAGGAAAATAATAGAAATATGGTGGTGGTGGTGGTGGTGGAGTAAAAACAATAGAAATGTGGTGATGGTTGTGTTAGAGGAAAAACAATAGAGATGTGGTGTTGGTGGAGGAAAATAATAGAAATGTGGTGGTGGTGGTGGCGGAAAGGGAAAATAATTATAATGTATGGGCGGTCTTGGAGGGAAAACAATGAAAAGAGACAAATAAGTAAATGAATTAGTAAAAATAAAAAAAAAATCGTCTTCTTTACGGTAAAAAAAAGTATACACGATTCCAACAAAAACCAGTTTTAGCTTTCTAAAAAAAGGTGCTCATATGATTGTTATATCACCCTTGCTTCAGTCTTAAGATCTTTGACATCACTTATTTTGTTCAGGTGTTCCTATAATTTTGAATAAAGAAAAGGAAGTAGCAGGAGAAACCGTTGTTATTATATGGGAACCACCACTGAATGGGGCGTGTTTTGTCTTGGAGTATAAAGTCTACTACAGAAAGGTTTCATTGGCAGAGACTAGTCCTTGGAGCGTCGTAACCGTGAACAAAAATTGTACGAGCCACACCTTGCACCTGGGTTGTTCCAAGGAGTATGAAGTCGCAGTTACTTCACTTAGTGCTGCAACTGCAAACACTGACAGCACTGAGATCAATTTTAGTGACATCCGGATATGGAACTTCAAAGTTAGGAGAGGTACGTTTGGGTATAATTCATAGTTGTTGATTTCTGAGCCCAGGACAAGCTTCGCTGTAATTTGGTACTAATTTATCTCATGTTTACATGAAAGGAGGATGCATGATCCTTAAAGGGGCTGCAAATTTTCTTTTACTTTTAATGCAAGACGTGTCGGTCGCGTCGGTCAAAAGGATACTAAGCAACGACGACGGCGACGGCGAACGGCAAAGAAGCAATAGGTGTAGATTAGAAAAACATCAACTTTGCACGTGCAGCACACTCTTTTGTAGAATTCTTTGCAGTCACTGCACGACTACGATATGAAACTGCCCGATCTCACCAGAATTTCAAGTTTCGTGGAGGACTTGAACACAAGACAACGACTTCCCTTTTCTTTTTCTAAACTTCAATACATGAGTCCTTCAGAATTCAAGTCCAGAAAAATTTGCCAACATTTGAAGTTTGAAGCAGCGCGAATTAACTTTTCAAGTGAATTTTTCGTAGCCGTCACCGTCGTTGTCGCTTAAGTTGCCTGATTTAGCCTTTCGTAAACAGCTAGCTCTTTTTACCTGAAATAGGTGGTCCCTTTCACGTTATTAGAAGACTGGACTCTTAGTCTATCTTCCTATCTCATCAAAATGTTCGTGTCACGGAAAATGGTAGAAATGTGACGGTGGCGACGATGGTGAAGGAAAACCACTTTTTAAAATCTCAAACAAAATGGAATGGATTATTTTATTGCTTTATAATGATGTTGGGAATTAGTAGAAATGTGGCGTTGGTGGTGGTGGTGGAGGGAAAACAATAGAGATGCAGTGGTGGTGGTAAGGGAAAACAAATGAAATGTGGTGGTGGTGGTGGTGGCGGAAAGGGAAAATAATTATAATGTAGGGGCGGTCTTGGAGGGAAAACAATGAAAAGAGACAAATAAGTAAATGAATTAGTAAAAAAAAAATTGTCTTCTCTACGGTAAAAATAGTATACACGATTCCAACAAAAACCAGTTTTAGCTTTCTAAAAAAGGGTGCTCATATGATTGTATTATCACCCTTGCATTAGCCTGAAGATCTTTGACATCACTTATTTTGTTCAGGTGTTCCTATAATTTTGAATAATGACAAGGAAGTAGCAGGAGAAACCGTTGTTATCATGTGGGAACCACCACTGAATGGGGCGTGTTTTGTCTTGGAGTATAAAGTCTACTACAGAAAGGTTTCATTGGCAGAGACTAGTCCTTGGAGCGTCGTAACCGTGAACAAAAATTGTACGAGCCACACCTTGCACCTGGGTTGTTCCAAGGAGTATGAAGTCGCAGTTACTTCACTTAGTGCTGCAACTGCAAACACTGACAGCACTGAGAGCAATTTTAGTGACATCCGGATATGGAACTTCAAAGTTAGGAGAGGTACGTTTGGGTATAATTCATAGTTATTGATTTCTCAGCCCAGGACAAGCTTCGCTGTAATTTGGTACTAATTTATCTCATGTTTACATGAAAGGAGGATGCATGATCCTTAAAGGGGCTGCAAATTTTCTTTTACTTTTAATGCAAGACGTGTCGGTCGCGTCGGTCAAAAGGATACTAAGCAACGACGACGGCGACGGCGAAGGCGAACGGCAAAGAAGAAATAGGTGTAGATAAGAAAAACAACAACGTGCAGCACGCTCTTTTGTAGAATTCTTTGCAGTCACTGCACGACTACGATGTGAAACTGCCTGATTTCACCAGAATTTCAAGTTTCATGGAGGACTTGAACACAAGACAACGACTTCCCTTTTCCTTTTCTAAACTTCGATACATGAGTCCTTCAGAATTCAAGTCCAGAAAAATTTGCCAACATTTGAAGTTTGAAGCAGCGCGAATTAACTTTTCAAGTGAATTTTTCGTAGCCGTCACCGTCGTTGTCGCTTAAGTTGCCTGATTTAGCCTTTCGTAAACAGCTAGCTCTTTTTACCTGAAACAGGTGGTCCCTTTCACGTTATTAGAAGACTGGACTCTTAGTCTATCTTCCTATCTCATCAAAATGTTCGTGTCACGGAAAATGGTAGAAATGTGACGGTGGCGACGATGGTGAAGGAAAACCACTTTTTAAAGTCTCAAACAAAATGGAATAGATTATTTTATTGCTTTATAATGAATGATGTTGGGAATTAATAGAAATGTGGTGTTGGTGGTGGTGGGGGAGGGAAAACAATAGAGATGCAGTGGTGGTGGTAAGGGAAAACAACTGAAATGTGGTGGTGGTGGCAGTGGTGGAAGAAAAAATTGAAATGTGGTGGTGGTATTGGGAGAAAAAATGGAAATGTGTTGGTGGTGGAGGAAAATAATAGAAATATGGTGGTGGTGGTGGTGGAGGAGAAACAATAGAGATGTGGTGTTGGTGGAGGAAAATAATAGAAATGTGGTAGTGGTGGTGAAGAGGGAAAAAAATAGAAATGTGGTGGTGAAAAAGGGAAAATAATTATAATGTAGGGGCGGTCTTGGAGCGAAAACAATGAAAAGAGACAAATAAGTAAATGAATTAATAAAAATAAGAAAAAGATTGTCTTTTTTACTGTAAAAAAAAGTATACACGATTCCAACAAAAACCAGTTTTAGCTTTCTAAGAAAGGTGCTTATATGATTGTATTATCACCCTTGCTTCAGTCTTAAGATCTTTGACATCGCTTATTTTATTCAGGTGTTCCTATAATTTTGAATAAAGACAAGGAAGTAGCAGGAGAAACCGTTGTTATCATATGGGAACCACCACTGAATGGGGCGTGCTTTGTCTTGGGGTATAAAGTCTACTACAGAAAGGTTTCATTGGCAGAGACTAGTCCTTGGAGCTTCGTAACCGTGAACAAAAATTGTACGAGCCACACCTTGCACCTGGGTTGTTCCAAGGAGTATGAAGTCGCAGTTACTTCACTTAGTGCTGCAACTGCAAACACTGACAGCACTGAGAGCAATTTTAGTGACAGCCGGATATGGAACTTCAAAGTTAGGAGAGGTACGTTTGGGTATAATTCATAGTTATTGATTTCTCAGCCCAGGACAAGCTTCGCTTCACTTTTAATGCAAGACGTGTCGGTCGCGTCGGTTAATAGGATGCTTAAGCAACGACGACGGCGACGGCGAACGGCGATCATAATTATAATGCAGGGGCGGGCTTGGACGGAAAACAATAGAAACGTGGTGATAGTGACGGACAGGGAAAACAATTCAAATGTGATGGTGGTTGTGGTGGTGTTGGTGAGGGAAAACAATAGAAATGTGGTGGTGATCTTGGACGGTAAACAATAGAAATCTGGTGGTGGTGTACAGCTTCACTATTCAAGGCTGGTATCATCACAAATAAATTGTCTTGAAACGAAAGGAGGATGTAGGGTCGATGTAGGTTGGGTCCATCAGGGATCGATGTAGGGTCGATGAGGGGTAGATCGGTGAAGGATCGATGTGTGCTCGATGTGGGGTGAATATAGGCTCAATAATGAGCAAACAAAAGAGGAGGGAAAGTGAAAATTTGTTTGTGTTTGTTTGTTTGTTTGTTTGTTTTTTTTAAAGAAAGAGCTAGTTTGCCGTCGTTCCCATTACTATGCACGATTTGCGCGCCAAGAACCAGTGAACCAGAATTGGTACAATTTGTTGGACAATGAAAGCGGCAGGAGGTAGAACTTGCACTAATTCCTCGCAACATGAATCAACCGATGATGAATAATTTTCTTACTATCGATAAGAAATATAACTAGGAAACCGATCCAACAGGTTAGCACACGGCCTTATCTTAATGAATGTCAAGACTCGGCTGTGGCCGACTTAGTAGTTATGTTAATGAGAGCCGCATAAACTGTGCTTGACTTCATGAAATTAGATGTAAAAAAAACATCAAATACATTAATTACTCAGGCTTACGATTCGAGACGCAACACCCGAAAGCTATTAATTAGGTCAGAATCGCTTGAGACTTTTGAACCCTCTTACGCATTAAGCAAGTTGAAAAAGCAAAACGATGCCATCCGAAATTGGATTTCCGACTTTGACCAGCGACATATCTCTCAACCAAAAACACAATAAGCAACCTAGCCATGGATAACAGAAGACTCTTGATAGCAGCTGTATTTCATTTTATACATCCAGTGGAAAAAGACAGTTCAAAAGATCTCAAGTTGACACAAAACTGTGGCAGCTTCACCTGTCAAAGTAAACAACTTTCAAGATGCTGCATAAATTTTCCGCATGAGCTCACCTGTCAAATTTTGACCAATCAGAGCATAAACATTGGACGTAGCGCGTGACCTTGGTAAGAAAAAGTCTTCCCCACCCGTATTTCTAAATAACTGGCGGAATTTTAGCGTCCGGGGTTAGTTTGAATTCAAAATCTTAATAGTGCAGGGCAATAGACATAAACATAGGCACTAGGAGTAATCGCAGCTTAGGAGAGTGCGTTCTATATGTTTGCTAGGCGTACAGGTAGCAGTTAAGGGGAAAGGGTGGATGGTGCTATGATTATGGCATATTTTGAACGTAAGGGTTGCGTACAGCGAAACCTCGATTTAAACTGTGTATCATAGTGAAAAGGTTTTGAAGGCTAGTAATCAGCGTGATATCGTATGGTTCGCCTCAAGTGCTTGTTACTTGAGGAGACACTGGCCAGAGTGCTTCGGGCGTGTAGATAGAACTTTTTGTTTTACTGGCACAATAGATGTTCTACAGGGCGCAGTTGTTCGAAGGCCTATCAGCGCTTAACCCGGGTATCTTTTTCTTTTGTTAAAAACATTTCTTTGGATAATTTTCTCAGTTATTTTTAAGAGCGTCCAATCATCAACTTGTTGGGAAAATGAAGCTTTCACATCTGAGTTCAAATTTCGCACTAACCCTTTTCGCCTGAGTTATCTCAACCCAGCTTTGAACAACCCGGCCCAGGTACTGTTAAAAAGCAAACAGTTGACAAAGTTTTAGATGTAATCATTAATTTTATTTATGTCTCCTCCCCGGTTTACTGAAACACTAACAATAAACCCCCCTTTACTGCCAACAGCCGAGCTTTGTTTGCTAGACGCCTAACTTAGAAAACAAAGAAAACCGAGACTATGGTCTGGGATTAAAAACATGGCCAAGTTAATGGCCGGTTTTATTCAAATCTGTAAAATCATCTTATCGATGTTAAAATATGAAATAATGTTTACGAATTTATAGGTCTAGCAAAGGTGAGGGCCAGAAGAAAAAGGCCACGGGTCGCTCCTAAGCGGCCCAGCCCCACCCGAAGGCTGTTGGCGAAAAGGAAGACGAAAACACAACGCCTGTTTGTGTTTTCAAGTACTAGTATCTAAAGTTGTTCCTAAACTCGGAGTTCTAATATAACGAAGAAAAGCGCTGGATTGCCAGCGACCTAGCAAGCGAATTTGGGAGTCTGAAAACCCCTTGGCAGATGCCCAGCTGGCAGCGCCAATGCGAAAACTGTGCGCTTTATATAGCTTAGTGTCTAAGTTACAAAATGTAAGTGCTGCGTTAAGTCGCTCAACAAAATAGGATCTAGTAATCGGAATTCCGTCGGGCCAACAAAAAAGAGGGCCGGATACCGACCCTCGCACAGCTAAAAAGTTTAAGATCAACTGAACTGGACAGCATGACCTTTCAGGATAAATAAAAATAACAAAAGGTGGCCCAGAATTCTTATGCTTGTAGTTATGCAAGGTAAGTTGCAGTGCCTGAATTCGGCCTTGAGCATCAACCAGTCGGTCTAGTTGCGAAAGATTAATGATATTGGTAGTGTTGCCTCGAGAGGCTGTTAACTCAACAATGCAGAGAAAAGCAAAAATGCCAAAGCACACATGGCAGACATGAGACAAGACTGGTAATGTGATGAAAGGGAATGCTCGAAAGCTCTAATTAAGTTCTGTAACACTGGCAAAGTAATAGGGAACCTGACATCATTGAGGGGAGTTAGTTGCCGATAACCCTTTAAAATTTGTATAATAAGTGGAGCCTCAGTAGGATCAGCGACACCAGCAAGTTTATGAACGTAACTAATAGCAGAAATGTAAGTGGTTACTGACGAAGAAGAATAATTCCTAGAGTATAGATGCGCGATAAAAAGGGCCAGTATGGCCGGTTGAAGAGGCAAATTAAAAGGCATATCACCTAAATAAGAAGCCGACCAATCTGTAAATAACTTCCAAGGTCGTTTATAAACTGATACAGAAGCGTTACTCAAGCTTGCCTCTAAAAGAGTTTTTGTTATAACTGCCAGTTCTCTGGTAACAGTTGGGGAGGCACAGCTGTTGGTTCTGGCGCCATGTCCTTGGACAGGGACTTGAATTTGGTCACCTGTGAACGCGATAAAGCATCAGCTTTCGTGTTATGAACGCCTGGGAGGTGTACAGCTTTAAATAAGATATTATTCTGCAAACATGATAGAACCAAGGCGCGAAGAAGAACCAACAGCTCCCTATCTTTAGTCGTCTTTTTATTAATTACTTCCGACAAGGCTTGATTGTCGGTGTGAAAGGTTATGCATTTGTTCGCCAGCTGAGTACCCCATATTTGTAAACTGAGAACAATAGGAAACATTTCTAGCACAATAATATTCTTAGAGGTCCAGGATGGGGGCCACGGACCGTAAAACCAATTCTGACGAAACACCGCTTCATAGCCTAGAGAGCCAGAAGCATCAGTATAAAGATGCAAGTGAGGTGATGAAAGCCATTGAAAATCTACGAAGAATGATTTGCCATTGAAGTGTGTTAAAAATTCTAACCAGAGCTTAAGATCGTCCTTGACTATACGCGTTAATCTAATTAAATGAGTCGGGCGATTGACCCCAACTGTCAAATTAATCATTCGTCTAAGAAAGGTCCTGCCGGGTATAACGACTGAACAAGTGAAGTTCAGAAGACCAATAAGGGATTGCATCTCCTTAAGGGAGACTTTTTTACGCTTGAGAAATTCATAAATAAGAGTAACACATTTTTTTAGCTTTTCTTCTGGGAGGCGAGCCTCCATTTTGTCAGTGTCTAGTTCTATTCCGGCGAAACATAAAACACTACTGGGACCCATTGTCTTTTCAGGCGCCATGGGGACACCCAAGTCGTCACACATCGCTAAAAACCTAGACAGATTTTGTTCACAAGCTGAGAAAGTTTTGTCTATGAGAAGGAAATCATCTAAAAGGTGTAAAACACCTGAGATAGCTAACTTAGACTTAGCAATCCACTCGAGAGCGGTTGAAAAGCTTTCCCAAATTTTGCAAGAGGAACTGGCTCCCATCGGCAGGCATTTATCAAAATAGAAGCTGTCCTCCCAACAAAAACCTAACAAATCATAGTCGCATGGATTTATTGGAATTAGACGAAAAGCGTTTTTGACATCTGTCTTAGCTAGGGCACAGCCCCTGCCTGTGCGCCTGATAAGTCTAATCGCATCGTCAATCGAGGCATATTTAACGGTAGAGGCATCGTTAGGAATACAAGAGTTAATAGAATCACCGTAAGGAAAAGATAGGTGGTGAATAAGGCGAAATTCTCCTGGCGTCTTTTTAGGAATTAAACCAAGCGGAGAAATGCGTAATGAAGGAAAAGGTCGTTCTAAAAATGGCCCTGCAATCCGACCTAGACTTAATTCTTTTGACAGTTTATCGGAAACGGCTACAGGGTTTTGAGTAGCGGATAAAAGATTTTTGCAACTGGAGGGTTTGTGGGGCCCTACATAAGCCAATAAAAACCCATGTTGAAATCCATTTAAAAGATAGTCTTTCAATTTAGTTGGATAGCCATCTAGGTAAAAATGTAATCTATTTACTTTGACTGGTGTTGGTAGTTGGACTGGATGCGACAGTGCGAGAGGTGGCGACAGGTGGTTTTCCCGACTTGCATTTTGTGGCAGGGTGATCGCCTCCACATTTAAAGCAGGCGTGTTTGAAATTACACCCGAAACATCTTTCACCTTGGTGGAACTTCCAGCAGAATCCTCGCGGAAGGGGCTGCTTTGATTGCCGGTTAAACGAGTTAGGCGGATTGTTTGAGGATGAAAGTTTGGTCATGTGGTGCGCCTGCAACCACAATTCCCAATGCACTTCGTCCCAAGGGAAAAGAGATTTTTGACGTAAATAGCGAAAATTTTCATCATAATAACGCCAATGAGCGTTTTTTGCCGCCAGATCGCGCACTGTCGCACTGTATTTCATTAATCCGGGAGCGCTGTCCGGAAATCGGATGGTGTAGACGGCAACAAAAACCTGAAATGCGGTAGTCCATTGATCGATGCTAGTAATGCGCTTATAGTTTTGGACGGGTTCGAGACTGACCACAGGCTGGTTGGATCCAGATGATTTTACCGTGAAGTTGTATTTGGGATCGCCTGGCAAGGACGATAGAAGAGTTCCGAGATCGATATATTCGTTGGCCCATATTTTTGATTGAATTTTGTCCGGAACTCTACTCGAGAGTGGAACGGAAATTAAGGTATGGATTTTATCGGGCCTGTGGTCGGTCTCTGGCCCGCTAGTAATGGAGGTAGAATTTAAAGTGTGGCCCTCACCAGTTAGGTCTTGAACAACCTGCGCTACTGACCCCTGTACAGCAGCAGCAGGGTCGGAGGTCTGTACTGGCTCTTGGGGGATTTTTCCTGCGGACTTCAGGCTTTCAACTACAGCCGAAGAAATAGCACTCGTGATGCTTGAAACCATATTCTGAGAGACAACTGAACTCGAGGGCGCGGGACTTGAGACTGAGGATGGCCCACTGATCGCCGGCTCTCGGGAAAGTTCGCTTGGGTGCGGCACTTCGGGTGGGTTGAGAGCAGGAACCGAGTGTACTCGAGAGGTCTGCTTAGGCCTCTTGGCCTTGGTGGGGCGAGATGTACTGCGGGCCATGGCCCTCGGGCGTTTAACTTGTGCGCTGGAGGCTGTGGCGGTAGAACTTCGCTTTCCTCTAGTCATCATCGTGGAATATGGTTTAATTTCAAGAAAATCTAGACCGCAAGCAAAGGAACTTGAATAAATAAGCCTAAGGCGTTGGTATGGGAGATAAAATAGTAAAAGAGTGAGTGGGGAGGGAGGTGGGGGGTTTCCAATCCAGTAGCATTCTGCTCAAATTATAAATTGGAGAGAGAAAAAACGGAACCGGCAATAAAAGAAAAATCGGCAGCATGTTTGGCAATTTCCCAATTGGAGACGCCGCATTGAACATGCTAAAGCGCCGGAAAGAGGAACCGGTCTGTAAAGTAAATACAATATCTTATAACAAAAGATAAAGCTCTGCTGTCCGCCATAAAGGACGGTTACAACGAAAGTAGAATGCATGACTGGATAGACAAGTTGGAATCTGTCACTGAGCCTCAGAAAAAGTGCCTAACTTCTTCAAGGCGAATAGTATGGCTCCCCTATAGCTACGATAAAGAGCATAGTTACCCGCTGCGCTCAAATGAACGCCGTCTCGGCATAAAACGGCAATAGATGGACTTTGAAGCCCTCTATGGCTCCACGCTTCCGCATAAGGGAGTGGTTCGAGGACCACTTTGAGATATTTATTGAGAAGGTCTACTTTGTGGCTGAAATCAGGAACGTGTGGAGGAATAGCAGACCGGTAAATTACTAGGCATACCATTATAAACTCTGCTCCACAGTGATCATGGAGGACTTGAACTAAATGTTCAATATCTGAACCAACAGATTCGGGGCGCTGCCCCACTACACACAAATCATTAGTGCCCAGTTCTAAAATGATAACCTTTGGCTGAAAAGCCTTAATTTTATCCAAATCAAATGACAGCATTTTAGAGACGGTTCTACCGCCAATGCCTAGAAAAGATATATTTTCGTGAGGCAAGTTCATGTTGTGAGCGGCACGCCTATCGTGATGTTCGGTGAGGAATGTCTGTAAACGCTTCACAAATGAATGACCAAGAATGAGAATGTTGGCGGTATTATCCATAACAGCAAACAGTTGAAAACAAGAAGTAAATGAGATATACTTAACGTTTTGTTGTGGTGAATTCCCAAGGAGAGCTGCTTGTTCAAAGGATAAGCGGTCAGCTATCGAAGATTCGGCTTGATGTCAGCTTTCAGACCGAGAGGATTAACAAAAGGTTACACCCTCTTATAAAGGGTCTCCGCGAGATAATGAGATCGAGGCTAAGTAGATTTACTTTGAGTGGCCTTACGATAGGAGCTCGTGATTATTACCCAAAAATAATTTTACTTTTGGTCTTGTGATTCTCATGCAATCGCAAACCATTGTAAGATAATTCAAAGTTCACATTCGAGAGCCTCTAAGCCTTTGAAGCCGCAATCGACCCCACCCCCCCAAAATCCATGCATTGAAGAAATTGGAAGGGGAGACATAAAAATTTTTATTTGGTTCCAAATAAACTCATTTAATATTGGGAATTCCACATGTAGACAATTACTGAAATTTACTGTAAAATGCCGGAAACCGTTACTGGCAAGTCTTCTTAACTTGTGATGATATTAAAGAAGGACCCAAGACCACATTTTTTCGGTGAATGCTGCGGCACAATGATTGTGTTTGAACACTGGTTCACTTACACTACACCTCTCAATTTTTCATACGTTTCAAGGGAATCATCAAAGCCTTCAGTGGAATGTGTGTGCGGCTCACGTCAATAACTTTTCCAGTAATTTGGTCGAGTGTATTGATTTCAGTGGCTTGAGTGGCGCTACTGTGGGCTGGTCACGTTTTTGCGAATAAATAACATAGAGCTATAAAAATGTTCGTTTGTCCAGTTCCGAAAATATTACAAGTCATGATGAAATGGTGGCGCCGAGCTTCACATCTCGGTAGATTTACTTTGTGGAATAACGGCCGCCGCCGAGCTTCACATCTCGGTAGATTTACTTTGTGGAATAACGGCCGCCGAGCTACTCAGCTCGGTAGATTTACTCTGTGGCACTACAGCGGCCTAGCTATACAACTCAGTAGATTTACTTTGTGGCACAACAGACGCTGAGCTTCACAACTCGCCGGTAAATTTACTTTGTGGTACAACGGACGCCGAGCTAAACAACCCGGTTTGATGCATGCACCAGGAGTAGCACGCATTTTCCAAAGAAAAATATGAGGGCTTAATCCAAACTAAAATTTTACTCAGGGTGTAAGCTTTCAGCACACTTTTGAAAGATGGAATGCTTAGGAAGATTCATTAAACACCGATCGATAGTAGACCTTCAGCACACTCTGAGATATGTACGCTTTACAAAGATTCAGCACACTTTCAAAAGATCAACGATTTACGAAGACAGAATAGGAGAACTCAGCAAACGTGTGAAAGATGAACGCCGAGGACACACGAATCACCACGTGAGTTAGTGCGTCAAAGTGAGGCAAAACGTAAGCAAGTGCCCCAAAGCGAGGCAAATGTTTGTCGACGACGACGAATGCAATCTCGAAAAAACCTCCCTTATTAATTGCACAAGACACCTAATAATGCATAGAACACCCAACACAAATTAGGGGTTGCGTTCTCGTACCTCGAACGCAATAAATTATTTGTAAGAACGTACGACATCCTTAATTTTGACCAATGTTAATAAAAATCTTTTAATGAAGACCTTTTTAATGGTTTGGTCAGTTTTTAACTATTTGTTGACTCAAAAGTTGGCAAGGAAGGCAAAAGTTGCTCTAGGTTGCTCGCAGTACAAAGAGTTGCTGAAAACGCTAAGAGTTGCTCAAAAGTTGTCGAGCACAATCTATTTATGCCTAGTACTTAGAAAGTGTGAAAGTAAACATTGGTTTTCCTGTGGTGCGGACGGACGGTCGCTCGGGCGGTCGGTCAGTCGGTGTACGGTCACGCGATTACCAAATTTTCTGGGATAGGTATTTAGAACAAAACACATTTAAGATGCCAGAATAAAGAGAGTTTTGTATTCAACAAGATAAAAAGTTCCATACTGATGACATAAATCAATGTTTACATAGTAATAGTCATGGGGATCCAAATGCAAATATGTTCAATTTTACGTTTCTCCTGGTCGATTTTGGCAAAGTGTTGTGCTCATCTGCGAACGAGCTCCAGCAAAACTCAAATGCTTCTTCTACAGAGACTATATTTCTCTAATATTGATTGTTTTGTTGGAGATTCGTCGCGTTTACATTTGACCTTTGTAGCCTTTTGTCTTTTGTCTGTCATTCGTAAACAATACCAAAAACAATGTAACTACTCCGTCGACCAATCAGCGCTCCTGACCGGATTCCAGACACGCTGAGATCCAGACGTTCCTCCTCGTGAAACGTCCCCTGTGGCGAAGAGTAAGGAGAAACGGCTGTTTTCGCAGGCTAATCATCATATTGTGGAAATTTAGGGGAGACTATCAAAAGGAAGGGAGGGGTGTCTCAGGCGTGTCTTGCCAAGTCCACATCTTTTACATTGGACATTCACAATATGGTCAATTGACAGCTGTCAAAACAGGATAGCCACTGACTAGTATCCCATGACCGTATCGCGGGCTCATGTGTCAACTTATTGAGGTGACGTGATTTATTTGGAAGCTGTCCGCTGACCAGTTAATTATTTTACTAGGTCGCGATCAATGTTCAGTCTCATACTTTCTAGCTAGTTTGGGATCGGAGCACAGGTAAACTGATACACATATTGGACATCAATGTTGTGAGCAATTGACAGCTGTCAAAACAAGGTATCCGCTGACCAGTATCACTTGACTCTATCGCGGGCTCAGGTGTCGACCCATCGGGGTCAAGTATTTTTTGAAGTTATCCGCTGACAAGGTCCTGGTTGTCAAATGATCGCAGGCTCAAGTTTAATTATTTTTAAAATTCATATGAAATATGTCGTGTTTATGTGCCGCACAATTAAAATTTTGATTTCAAACTGACCTAGGACGCGAAAATTCAGCCAGCTGCTACAGGCAGGGAAGACAGTTGCTTTTGACTTTTCTCGCCATGTTCACGCGTTGGTCACGCTCTACGTCCAATTTTTATGCTCTGATTGGTCAAAATTTGACAGGTGAGTTCATGCAGCATCTTGAATCTTGTTTACGTTGACAGCTGAAGCTGACAGAGTTTTGTGTCAACTTGTGATGTTTTTAACTTCCTTTTTCCACTGGATGTACAAAATGAAATTCAGCTGCTATCAGGAGTCTTCTGTTATTCATGTCTAGTTTGTTTATTTGGTTTTTGGCTGAGTCAAAGTCGGAAATCCGATTTCGCATGGCATCGTTTTCGCTTTCACCTTGCTTAATGCGTAAGAGGGTTGCAAAGTCTGAAGCGATACTGGCCTTACTTGACACCTTTCAGGAGCTGCATCTCGAGTGGTAAGCCTAAGTAATTATTGTATTTGATGTTTGTTTTTTATTCCTAATTTAATGAAGTCGAGCGTAGTTCATGCGGCTATTTTGTTTACGCACGTTTATAAGATTTGAGACTATGGTCTGACCGAGTATCAGGTTTGTTATAAGCTTACAGATCTTTAAAAAGCCTTTAGATATTTTCTCACCGCAAATAGAAAGAAAACGTTTCAAGGAATATTTAGTTATAATTCTGGCTGTAAAAGAAAGGTTTGAGCGATTTCTTTGCCTCGAGTTCGTCTTTGAAAAAAGCAAACACCGGGAAGCCGGCTTAAAACATAAACTTCAGCTTTAAAGCTCGAAGACTCAGGATTTTTAGAGACACTTTAATACTTGTCTTCCTGAATGAAAATTGTCGTCTCTGTATATGTTTCACCGAATTATTTCTTTTATTGATTGTTAGTACTGTCTCTTGTAATTTTAATCGCTGTGCCGATTGTTTTGCCGCGCGTTAAACCGTTTTAAAAAAAACAAGACGCTACGGAGCTAGCGTACACTTCGGCGTCGTGGTTGTGGAACTAATTAATTGTAAATGCGGAGGAATAGTAAGAAATCAAATATGGTAAGAGTAAGGTGTGAAATTATGGGATTTGTCAGGATATTCTGAAAAGAGCAACATCCAAGAGGCCTACTTGCCAAAAACTAGCATTTCAGGACAAATTGTCTCCGCGATATTAGCCCAGTTATGCTCTGATGACTCCATACAAATCCTTCTAAAAAACAATTCTCTATTTTTCTTAGTCACATTAGGCTTCAAAAACAGCATAGCAGTCTCATGTACTGATTAAAGATATGTAAGGTATGGGTAAGGAGTCAATTACGTTGAGCATGGAATTGGCTAAAACTCAAAGTCACGAGTTCGAATGTTTTGAGGATAATTATTCACTGACTATCAGCACGCAGGGATGTCGGATTAACACAAGGAAGTTTAACACCAAAGGAACACAGCCTTTACAGAGCTTTAAAACACAGCATCCGCCAGGACAAACTTGACTTGAACTTTGAGTAAAACTAGACAGCCTCTACCAATAACAACAAACTCTCACTTGAACTTCAGATATCTTACGGCTTCCGCGAACTTGTAAACACAGAACCTGAAAATCGACCTTCGTCACACTTGACTAAACACAGCAGTCCAGCTCGTGGGAGAAAACTTAGTTCGTCAAAAGAACTCGCTTGGAACTTGTATACCGTTTGACATAAGGTTCTAGAAAATACTAAACAGGCGAATAGTAGTAGCTTTTCGACATATTTTATGATTTCAGTCACTGATGCAAATCTGCTGACTCATGCTGAGATGTAAACATGCCCTAATTAATTATTCATGGTAATCCAAAAACGTAGAGAACGTTCGAGAAAGTCACGCAACGCATGAAAGCAATTTTACTACGTAACACTCAACAAAGACAAAATGTCTTTGTGCAGCATTTTGTAACTTTAAATTCATCATAAAACAGTTCGAAAGGAGGGCTCACTCGTGAAATGTTTTTCAACACTCGAAGAGAAATTTCTTGTCTCTGCGCGGCCACGAAATATCCTCTATTTATTCCTCGAGTAATTAAAGACTAAACTCGAAGTGATCTCAAGATATCACGAAGTAGTCCGATCTCATTTCGTGAAATAGTTGAAACAAGCCGAAAAGTCACGAACTTGCACGCCCAATCTTGTCCCGAAACTAGTGCATGATTTCATAACTATTTTTCATCTCCCAAACTACCTTGGGTCGCAGTAGCGCAATCGGCTGATCCCTCAACTTAGAGTCTCCTCTGATCTGACGGGTCACACAGGTGAGTCGGTTCAAATCCCGGGAAGGCCAAAAAAAAAGTTAGAGAATAAATCAAAGAAATCGAAGTGATCTCGAGATATCTCGGACTAATTCGGCTCTTACTTCATCAAATAGCCAAACAGAGCCGAAAACCTACACACTTTGCTTGCCCAATCTTGTCAAAAAATTGCAACTTTGATACATTCCTGAGCGTTGCGAATCCTTTACTTCGAGCTCCGCCGAAGTAAAATAAACAGAATAAATTCTTTATGATGTTGAAGCGTAACTGTGTCAATGTTCATTCAAACACTCGCCACCGCTAGCACTGCAAAAGTCAGAACCGGCTGCCCGTATAGATGATTTTGAAAATTTTTTTAACGGTTTACGGCTAAAGCTCACGCGTGCTTCGATCGTCCTGAATATTGAATGATAGCAATTTGTATCGCAGTATTGTGAAATACTGCATTCTGTTGTCCGAGGTCTGTATGATAAAACGAGTGCCTCATAGTACTGTTTCACCTCAGATGTGATGTATAAGTGATATAAAAGCTTGGTTTACACGCACCCAGATTTGTTGGCAAGATTTTGTAAAGTAAACTTGTCGAACGCAAAAAATTCGGTCGGAATTTTTTTTCCAGACCTAATTAATCTACGGTGATCAAGAGCCATTATGGCTCTTAATATAAATGTGATCGAAGATGATTGCCAGTTTTTGGGTGTACTTATGAGGCTATCAACTCGATGTGAGATTTGGTTCACTCTTGGGCTGTTTGCAAATTATTTTTTGTACAATCACTTAGCCTTTCCCTGAAAAGTCACACGAATGTGCCCTAAAGTTAACTGAATTGTGGAATACAAGTTTATTGTTTGATTTAAATTATAAATTTATTAATGGGAGCCTCGCTTTTAGCCTTGGCTAAATCTATATATTAAAGTCATGGAAAACTGCTGAAGGTCATGAGAAGAGCTCAAAAGAGGATGGCCGTCGAGGTTTCGAAAGGTCGTTTTTATTAATTCATGAACTTATGTTTCAAGATTCTCGGTCTGCTAATCTGGGCATCTGTCCCTGTTTCCAAAGCTTTTAATTCGAATTAACTTCATTTAATTGGGTTAAGTAACTTATCTAAATGAATAGAGAAATTCCCTAGGTCAGTTCTCTATTCTCTGGTCTCGTTTCATTTCTCTTAGCGGAACCGCTAATTAACTCTCTTTTAACCTGACCAATTACAGGCGTACCATTACCTCCTACTATACAGAAGGAGAAAACCAAAACAATAAGCTGCGACGTCAACCTTACATGGAGCACCCCTGCTGATAACGGATGTCCGCTGACAAAGTACTCAGTGTACTACAGACTGAGTTATGAAGACAAGCAAGAGGCAAAATGGCATGAAATAAATGATCTCAAAGAGAATGCGTTCATTCTGACGTTAAAATGTAACTCGCGGTATGTGCTCGAAGTGTCTGCCTGGAATGAGTTGGGAGAAAGTAAGAGATCAAAAACACTGGAAATTACCACAAATTCAGGTTAGAGTGTGACTTAAGGTGTTTCGATGTAGTTTTTCAGAGGCCATACCGGTATTTTTTAATCGCTTTAAAAGTGACTTTATCCTTGTCTGATCGCTATAAAAGTTTCACCAATGGTTGACTATAGATTGAAATTTGTCAAAATGTAGGTTTTAGAAAAATCGATATTACTACGACAACAATAAACAAAAAACTTTGAAATTGATAAACGCCTAATTTTGCGCGATCTAGACCAGCTACTGAGAATCCAACACTAGGAACTTAAAGTTTAGTGTTTAGCAAATAACCTCTGTAAGAAGTTAAAAAAATTCTGTATGTTTGAATTCGACTAAAACGAAAATATATTTCAAACTATAAATTTCAATAGCCGTGATGGATTATTTAATAAAAACGTTATAAATGACTCAAATTATTCTTAAGCAGCGTCAGAATGCTGCTTAATGTCATATTCCGATGCTAGGAAATTTTGGTGTATTTCGTTCGATCTTAAAAACTAACCCGTTTTGTCACCACCCGTATAAGTGCAATTTCATTCAAAATTTGGACTTTTAGCGCTTTTTTGTATATCTCTGAAACGACTCGAACGAATTTTTTTAAAATCTCTTCACATAATCTTCATAATGTATATAATATTGTCTAGAACTTTCATTAAGATTGATTCACTGCAACACCTTGAAATTTCAAGACAAACCTATCCTACGAACCGGTCAAAAATCCGCGCTACAACATTCACTGTTTTAACGTTAAGATAATTTTTCGAAATTAATGCGGACAATACATATATCCATGACTAGAACATTTTAGTGTGAGGATTTTCAATGTTTTACATTCAAAAGATGCGATAAATGCAAACTAAAATGTACTGGTCATGGAGGTATGTATAGTGCGTATTATTTTGAAAAAATTAGCATAACGTCAAAACAGTGAATGTTGTAACGCAGATTTTTGACAGGTTCGTAGGATAGGTTTGTCTTGAAATTTTAAGATGTTGCAGTTAATCAATCTCAATGAAAGTTTCAGACCTTATTATATACATTATGAAGACTATGTGAGGAGATTTCAGAAAAAAATTCGTTCGGATTGTTTCAGAGATATACGAAAAAGCGCTAAAAGTCTAAATCTTGAATAAAGTTGCACTTATACAAGTAGTGAGAAAACGGGTTAGTTTTCAAGATCGCAAGAACGAAAATACACCAAAATTTCCTAGCATCAAAATATGATATTATTAGCACCATTCTGACGGTATTTAAGAGTAATTTGAGTCATTTATAACTTCTTTATTAAATAATCTATCACGGCTATTGAAGATTTAAGGCTTGAAATATATTTTCCTTTTCGTCGAATTCAAACATACAGAATTTTTTACTTCTTACGGAGATTATTTGCTAAACGCCAAACTTTAAGTTCCCAGTGTTGGATTTTCAGTAGCTCGGTCTCGATCACCCATAATTCAGCTTCTATCAATTTCAAAGTTTTTTGTTTGTTGTTGTCATAGTAATATCGTTTTATTTAAAACTACATTTTCACAAATTTTAATCCATAGGCAGTTACTGGTGAAAATTTTACAGCGATCAGACAAGGAAAAATCCATTTTTAAGGCGATTGAAAAATATGGCCTCTGAAAAACTGTATCGAAACACCTTAAAGTTAAATCTATTAAAATGTTCACTGAAAGGTTGTGCGATAAACGAATCGGAAATGTCTTGAATTTCCGAATAGAAGTAAGCCTGGGCGAATAACCTATGCATTAAGTAAAATTAAACTCCTTTAAACTTTAAATCTTACCTTACTAGCGTATTCATAATAATGCAGTCTACCATAGTTGGTCGACAGTCGACAGTCCGGTCGATGATCAGAACGCAAGACTAGATGAAAAGATACATACCAGCTCCCCGGGCCCGGATTTCAGGTTTTCGTGTAATGCTTCTTTTTTGTTATGTTTTCAGGAGATGGAAAAACCACACCTTCCTTGAGCGGCAGCCTGTCTGCTTTGCAGTATGCCGGTTTGGTGGCAGGAGTCGCTGTCTTCCTTTTGGTTGTCTTTCTAATGGTGTTCTGGCTTCGAAGAAAAGCACAGAAAAATAACCAACAAGCGCTTTACTCAAGACCGAGAAGGTAATTTGTTAGACCGTGACATTAACCTTAATTACAATTTTTCTCCCATTTATTGCATCAAAAATTTGACTCAACTCTGCAGTCGTCTTTTGCCTCTGACGACGTTCGCACCCTCAAACAGCCGAATGTGCGCAACAACGCTTTGATATATTTTTTTGTGGTTCAATTTTATCCTTGGTTCAGTTTTTATTTCCCTTTGCTTTAAACTCATTATAATACATTACCACACCTCAAAACCAACATATACAGTAAACACCCGCTAATAAGAACCAACATTTTTTGAAGTCTGGCAAAATAGGTTCTTTTATTTTGGGGTGTGTAGTGTTTAGACATTTCGTTACTGTTATATAGAGTTATCGGTGCGCAGAGAATCATGGTACTGTAACATGGCGTGCTCGCTGGTGTAGGTCAAAGAAACCGGTTGAGTTTATCTGCACTTATCTGGGTATTAACAGGCCATCATTACAATTGGCGACGAGGATGGTTTTGCAAGTGTTCAAAGATTAAATTCGTGACATAATTTTTATCGAGAAGGAAATCATGCCAGCGACTGGAAAACCCGAAGAACAAGAAAGCAACCCAAGCGCACCATCGTCCACCAACTCAGGCGGGGCGAGTGCAAAACAGATCCTGGACTTCCTTGGCCTTCCTTGCTTTGACCACAAGGGAGAGCCGAATTCGTTGTCCATTCGATGGAAAAGATGGAAACGTGCTTTTAACCTGTATGTGGCCTCGAAAGGAGTAACCAATGAAGGGCAGAAAGTAACGTTGCTGTTACATTCAGGAAGTATTGAGTTACAAGAATTTATTACACTCTGGTGTCTGAAGATCAAGATACTTTATTTAACGATTGCGTTGCAGTCCTGGATAACTATTTTACACCGAAAGTTAATGTTCCATTTGAGCGACATGTTTTCCGCCAAATTCAAAAGATGGAGGGGGGAACTATCGATCAATTTGTGTGCCGTCTGCGCCAGAAGGCTATATCCTGTGAATTTCCAATCGTGAATGAAGCCATCCTAGATCAGATCATCGAAAAATGTAGAGTTCCAAAACTTCGTCGAAAATTTCTCGAGAAATCAAGTGAAGCAACCTTGACTATGCTGCAAGAAACTGCAAGAGTCCATGAAGCTATCAACACTCAAATGCATTCTATGGAAAGATCTGAGCAGGTGAACAAACTGTCTCCAAATGATCGGCAAGCAAAGGAAAAGGGAACAAAAGGAAAGAAAACTGGAAAAGAAAGGAAATGCTACCGGTGGGGTGGAACTGGTCATCGAGAGCTGTCCAGCATTAGACAAGACTTGTAATAAATGTGGTAAAAGCGGTCAGTTTGCGGCTTGCTTCAAGAAAAAGTCAACCCAGTGGAAGACATCGTTCAGAAGGAGCTAATAAAGTCTCAGAAGAGAAAGAAGGAGACGACAACTATGCGTTTGTGTTGGATGCGAAGAGTATTAATGGGAGGAGTAGTAATAGCTCGAGTGGTGTTGTTGTGTTGGAGGTGTGCAGTTAAAGAATGTCCTTATTGACTCGGGGGCAACATGTAACATTGTGGATCGTGCTACGTGGGAGAGTCTTAAATAGAAAGGAGTGAAGTGCAAATCCCGAAAGTGTGAAAAGAAGCTGTTTGCTTATGGCCCAACCAAACCAATCGAGGTTGTTGGAACATTTGAAAGTGAAATTCATTGTGAAGAGTCTGGAGAAAAGTGTGTGGATGAGTTTGCTGTTGTTGAAGGTCGTGATAAAGCTCTGCTGGGAAAGGATACAGCTAAGAAGATGAATGTGTTGAGAGTTGGACCTCCGAACTCACCACAAGGATACTCAATTACAAGTGAAGGAACTTCTGTGGACATTGCTAAGAACTTTGCTGATGTTTTTTTCTGGAGTGGGTAAATTGAAAAATTTTCAGCTTAAGTTGCATGTGAACAAAGATGTTAAGCCTGTTGCACAGCCTGTCAGAAGGTTACTCTTTGGTTTAAGAGACAAAGTTGACAGGAAACTAGATGAATCGCTTAAAGAAGACATCATCGAGGAAGTGCCTAGTGGTCCAACAGAGTGGGTCTCACCTTTGGTGGTAGTACTAAAACCTGACGGAGACATACGCGTCTGTGTGGATATGAGAAGAGCCAACGAGGCAATCGTAAAGGAAAGGCACCCCATTCCCACTATTAAAGAGGTTCTACATCACTTAAATGGGTCAACATTGTTCAGTGAATTAGATTTGAAGTGGGGCTTCCACCAGGTGGAACTTGAAACTGAATCGCGTCGTATTACAATCTTCATTACACATCGAGGTCTTTTTCAATACAAGAGTTTAATGTTCGGAATTACCTCAGCTCCTGAGAAATATCAGGAAATTGTCAAAGATGTGTTGATTGGCTGTAAAGGAGTTGCAATTATTGCTGACGACCTGATCATCCATGTATGTGGAATCAAGGAGCATGATGAGAATCTGCTAGCTGTCCTGCGCCGTCGCAGAGAACGTGGATTGACTCTAAATGAGAAGAAGTGTCAGTTCAGACTTCCAAAATTAACATTCTTTGGACATGACTTGAGCAGTAAAGGGATCGCCCCTAGTGAAGAGAAGGTGCCTGCAGTTCAAAATGCCAAGCCTCTACAGAGTACCGCAGAGGTCAGATCTTTCTTAGGCCTTGTACAGTACTGTGCCAAGTTCTTGACAGATTTTTTTCAAGTTGCTGAACCGCTTAGAACGCTGACGAGAAAAGACCAACAGTTTATGTGAGAAGATGCTCAGCAGAAATCCTTCCAGAAACTGAAAGATATGCTAACCCGAGCAGAAACACTTGCTTACTTCAAGAATGAATGCAGGACACGTATTGTTGCTGATGCTGGTCCCACAGGCATAGGAGCTGTCCTCACTCAGCTACACGATGGCCTATGGAAAGTAATTTCCTATGCATCAAGAAATCTTACTGATGTGGAAAGGAGATATTCCCAGACAGAAAAAGAAGGCCTTGCCTTAGTATGGGCCTGTGAGAGATTCAAGCTGTACGTTTTTGGTCGATAGTTCGAGTTGGAGACTGATCATAAGCCTTTGCAGTGCATTTAAAACAAGTCTTCAAAGCCATCTCCCATCTGTAGGTCCTTCGCCTACAGGATTACAACTTGAAAGTGATCTATCGCCCTGGTAAGACAAACATCGAAGACGCTCTCTCGAGATTAAATTCTGTGAATCAGAAAGATTGCAGAGGTGAGAAAGCCGACTTCGTTAGAGTACTTGCACAAGAAAGTACACCAGTAGCTATGACTGCAAAGGAAGTAGAAAGAGAATCAGAGAACGATCCTGAACTGTGTAGTGTTAAACACTACATACAAAGTGGTTATTGGTCACAGTGTAAAATGCCTCATTACTTGAGTGTGAAGAATGAACTTTTTGTGCTAGGAAAATTAGTGATGCGTGGAACAAGGATTGTTATTCCCCAAAGCCTTAGAAGTGAAGTACTGCGCTTAGCACATGGAGGCCATCAAGGCATTGTGAAGATGAAAAATCGGTTGCGAACCAAAGTTTGGTGGCCCAAAATAGACCATGTTGCTGCACAAGTCTGCAAGAGTTGCCATGGATGTCAAGTAGTAGGAAAATTTTGTGCACCTAAACCTATGCAGCGGGTAGAACCACCCTCTGGGCCATGGCAAGATGTAGCAATTGATGTCCTTGGTCCTCTTCCTTCTGGAGAGAACTTGCTTGTAGTAGTTGACTACTACAGACGTTTCTTTGAAGTAGTTATCATGCATTCAACTACTTCCCGGAAGATGATAGAAGCATTAACGCCAATCTTTACACGGTATGGATACCCATTCAGCCTAAAGTCTGACAATGCACCGCAGTTTGTGCCAGAGGAATTTGAAAACTTCCTGGCTACACATGGCATCCTTCACCGGAAGTCTCCACCCCTTTGGCCTCAGGCTAATGGCGAAGTGAGCGCCAGAACAGAACTTTGCTAAAATCACTCAAGGTAGCTGTAGCAGAAGGGAAGAAATGGAAAGATGAATTGGATAAATTCTTGCTGGCCTATAGAACCACCCCTCACAGTAGCACAGGGGCAACCCTAGCATTTCTTATGTTTGGAAAAGAATTGAAGACAAAGCTCCCAGAACTGCGTCCAAACAAAAGTGTTCTGGATGAGAGCACATGAGATCGTGACTGGAATCAAAAGCTTGCAGGCAAAATGTATGGTGACAAACAACGGCATGCTGTGGACAACCCAATTACACCTGGAGACAAGGTTCTTCTCAAGAACACCAAGCAATCTGGAAAGTTAGCTGCTAATTTTGAGCCCAATCCTTACACTGTTCAGACAAAGGAAAGGCAAGAACTAACCTTGAAATCGACCGACGGTACAGTGCAGCGGAGAAACATTTCATTTGTTAAGCCATACAGAACCCCACAGGAGCCGGACAACTCTACGGGAGCTAAAACCCCAGAGGATTGTGTGGTCCCACCCTCAGTTGCTGACACGGCAACCACGACTGAGCTAAAGAGTAGACCGTCTGGAACTGTACGGATGCCAACTAAGTTTAAGGACTTTGTGTTGGATAGGTGAACAATTTTGAAAGACAGTGCACTCTTAAGATTGTTTATGTTCAGGGTAGGTGAACAGTTTGTGAAAGACAATACTCCACTTAGACATAAATTTTGTCTGAGGTCATAAGTTTGTTTCTTTTCAGAAAGGAAGGGAATGTAGGGTTTAGACATTTCGTTACTGTTATATAGAGTTATCGGTGCACAAAGAATCATGGTACTGTAACATGGTGTGCTCGCTGGTGTAGATTAAAGAAACCTGTTGAATCTGGGTATTAACAGACCATCATTACAGGGTACGTGTGGCAATTTGGGCTAAGTAGGTTCTTAATTTCTATTAAGGAAATCATAGATTGTTGATTACCAGAAAAATATATAACATTTTTATTTACTCACCGTTGTAAATAGATGTTACTGTTAAACCGTAAAAATGCAAGCAATGGAAATTGTAATTTATGATCAACTGATACCAACTCCAAGAAAAGTATTTAAATAATGATAGTTAAGATAATTCCTCGTCACAACACTGTATTGATTCTCCAAGCTGTAAATATAATGACCTGTAAGAAGTTGTTAGCCACCCGTGTTGTAATCAGACTCGTGAGGTTGTGTTTTAGGTATCGCAATTACCGCATTGTTAATTCATAAGAACACTTAGCCAATCACATTCGGAGAAGAAGCTTCACACCTCTCCGAAATCGACAACGAGTCAGGATTTCCAAACTGTAATTTTAGTACTTTTCTATCTGTTATTATGAAAAGTTTGTATATGAGTAAATACCTTGTAGTTTTTGTATTGTTCCCCTAGTTTTGTGTTTGGCTGGTTGACTTAAAGCTTAATAGTGAAAACTGTGGCAGAAAAACCATTTTCACAAAGCAATTATCTCGAAGGTTTCGTGCTATTATCATGAGTCTCATTTAATCAATCAGATTAGAGTTACGTCAGCATTAGTTTACACTAAGCAGCTGGTTTTCTGGCTGATTTAAAAGTGGGTGTAGCATCAATTTACCAGAGAGAATTGTAAAAACTAGAAGCTACAAAGTCAATAAATGTTCTGAATCAAAACAAGTTTGTTGTAATGTTGTATTTGTGAAAAGGCTACAGCTATTGCCCGCCAAAACGTCTTTTCATATTATAACCTTGGCAACTGATTATTACCGAATTTATATGCAGTTTAATACAGTATGTTCTTGTTGACATACTTAAATTTACAACTCAAAGTTACACTCTTTTGTTAAATTGTTTATCATAATTTATCTGTAACCCGCATAAAAGAACCTGCTTGATCTTGCTAAACAGGTTCTTGTATTTTGGGGTATTATAGTGTTAAATTTCTGCCAGGATGTTCTTAATCCACAGGTTCTTGTTAGCGGGCGTTTACTGTATTTCAAAAGGAAAATAACAGAAACTGTGAAAGTAACAAGTATATACGGTGACTATTCAGTAACTAATAGTAGGACATTTTTTGAATGTCACTTGTCTATTCAACGGTAATAGCTTAAGCGTGACTTTCTTCAATAACAAGGCTTTCGGGTGCAGCATCTTGTAAGTCCGATTCGGTAATTCAGTCAGGGACAATTTTCGTGTGATTTGCTTAAGGCTTGATGTACTACCTGATCTCAGTGTACATGTACTCTAACAATGATATCAACGGAAATTATGGAGGAACTTAACAGAGCAAGAGTGCTTATTAGAATGAGGGTGTTTACACAGTAGGGGAGTGCTTGCTAGAATAGGGGCGCTTATTAACAGACTAGGACACATTTGATGTGGGGCGTTGATTAGAGAGGCGGCGATATTTGAAACGAGAGCGCTAAATCGAATCATTTCGGTAAATATACAAATGCTATGGCCGTTTAATTTCACGCTTAGTTCTGTTCAGTTTTAACCTTTAACGAGTACGTACTTTAACGTAGGTCAAAGTCAACCATTATTCCCCTCCTGCGATGGGAAGTATTACCTGAGCAAGTAGAATTTAAGGAGGAGATTGGCTGCGGTGCATTTGGAAAAGTGTTCAGAGGCATTTACAGAGAGTCACCAGGAATCGGGGTGTTTTACAAATGTAGGACGCAGACGGTTGACTTCAAAGAAGGTCGGACTGTAGCCATTAAAGTCTTAGAAGGTGAGTTCAATTTCACCTCTTGACATCTAAATGATGGATTTTCGATGTTCCTGAAATCAAACGCTGGCGGTAACCATGCAATATCTTCGCGCTGCTATAGAAACAAAGCAAAAATAACCAACCAAAAACATAAAAAAACAGTAGTGCTATTACTTTCAGTGCCAAAACCTAACGAAACAATATACGGGCTTTGGATTTAGGTCATAATCATGTTGTTATTTCAGATGTTAAAGCCTTTTGCGGATTTAAAAAACAAAAACATAATAAAAAACAGAACAAACGTCTACATCCACGTGCAACTGAGTGACAATCTGATTTCGAGAGATTCCTGGAAAAATTGCGGGAAAAAATGTTGAGTTCGTAGTACTTTAGCCTTAATTTAATTAAAAGATGGTGTCATTTTCTTTGTTATGATTTTTTCCCGGAAAAAATGAAAGGCCAGACATGCAGAATGATTGTTCCTTACATGCTTGTTTTGTCTTCATCGGCAGTCAAAGATTCCTTTATAAAGAAATCAGATTCTTATATAGCAAATATGTAATAGAATAGAAATTGTACCTTTTTCATCATTAGACAAAACAGATGAAGACGCCAAAGAACAGCTTCTGCAAGAAATTGAGATCATGAAGTCAATTGGGTATCACAAGAATGTTGTGAGCATGTTAGGTTGCTGGGTTAACAATGACCCAATCTTTCTGCTGCTAGAGTATGTCCCGTATGGAGATCTGCGACATTGGCTGATAAACAAGAGAAAAAAGGTGAGTAAGCTAGGCCAACGTAAGTCGAGAATTAATTATCATTATTATTCATTCAAAATATTTCCCTGATTCTGCTTGGCAAAAAGCACACGCATTATCCACCATAACCAGCTACTGATGACCAAATTTAAAGGAATTTTGCCTTTAATGAACCGATGACGTCAAAAGTGCAGCTTTCTTTCAGGTTAATGCACCGTTAACCGAGAAGACCTGAGGAAGAGGTTCAGTTGTTTTGATTGTGAAAACAAAAATGGCGGACATTTCACTCGTTTCAAGAGTAAGAACTAGGCAAAATAATAGCTAAAAACATGGCAAGCACATCAAGAAGACAACTCGAAGGGCAACGTGTGCTATTTGGAGAATATTTGTGAAGCTGAACAACCCTAAACGTGCACTATATATCGAAGATGAACTTAAAATCGATGGAGGTAAGCATGTTTTAGCTATGGTTTTAAAGGGACTGGTTCACGGTGATGCGTATGTGTGAGTTCTGACAGTAGCTGATTGTTTTTCAACCAATCGGAAGCGAGTTAGATGCACGCAAGTAAATTTACAAAATTCAAATTAATTGTTCGCGACGCGAGAGTATTTCCGGGCATTTGGTTTGATTTGATTTATCCCCACAATTCAAGTTTATTCTTTGCTACTCCTCAGTTATATGTTGCAGCCGATAAGAATAAGATTTACAGCCCTGTCCTGCTTTGAAACAAACATTTACCAACGTGTATTTTTACGAGGTCGTACCCACGCTAACAAAGCAGTCACCGATCGGCAAACAAAATTTGTAATCAAACATCTTATTACGGTACTCGCAGTTCGCCTTATTTAAACCCTGAAATACCTACAAATACCGCCTGACCGGTGACAAAAACACACAACGTATGAGTATAAAGATTATCCTTAACTGAGCATAAATTTCAAATGCTTATCAGCAAATGAACAAATTCATTCGCGTTACATCGGGTCAGTGTTCCGCAAAACAAATGTTATCGAGTGGCACACATAAAGAAACTATATTATAAACAGAATATTCAGGCAATAATTTATTTTAAAAAGATCAATTCTTAAACATATACGATCGTAAAGCAAAGATGCAAGGAACATTTCAAGTGTACCAGATCGGTGAAGATCACGCGGCCTGTTGCGGTATAACTACAGGTCGGAGTCAAAAATCAAATCAAAGTTGAACGAACTCATGCCTTTAACCACTTTCCAAGTGTCGTGTATTCTTTTCGTAAGCCACACACTACTCCTAGAACCATACCAGATCGATAGGCTAAGCTTCTCTATCTCCTAAGACTCTTGAGAACGTCCTGTTGCCGGACGGCCACGATGCTCTTCTGAACCTCCATGATCAAAACATTATTTTTTGCGTTCTTAAAACGTAACCAGTCAAACGACACAACCACACGTTAATCACCACAACCGAAGTATAACTAGACCAGCCAAAGCGACGGATGTCCGAATAAAACGAAGGATTTTCAGTGATTGTACCGGTAATGGCGATTTCGAATTTAGTGTTGACCCAACAAATTTATTCTGAAGAGCCAAACGGCGCGCATGCGCATTATCGTGAACCAGTCCCTTTAAACAAGGAATCATTTTGAATGAATAATAAAACAATTATTGAATTCGGCTTTCGTATCATATGAAGAATTATGGCGATCGAGGAAGGTGTTATCCGCCTTGGCCTACAGCTTCTACGGATAACACCCTCCTCGATCTCCATAATTAACAATTAATGAATTCAGGCTGAGTATCTTTTGAAGAATTATGCAGATCGAGGAGGGTGTTATCCGTCGAGCCCTTAAGCCGAGGCGGATAACACCCTCCGAGATCTCCATAATTCTAGATATGATTCGAAAGCCGAATTCAATAATTTTTTCATTATTCATTCAAAATAATTCCTAGTTTAAAAACAAGCTAAAACATGCTTACCTCCATCGATCCATCGATGCTAAGTCCATTTTCGATAGTGCACGATTAGGGTTGTTCAACTTCGCAAAATATTCTCCAAATAGTAGATGTCGCCCTTTGAGTTGTCTTCTTGCTGTTCTTGCCATGTTTGTAGCTAATATTTCGCCTAGTTCTTACTCTTGAAACGAGGGAAATGTCCGTCATTTTTGTTTTCACAACCAAAACAACTCAACCTCGTCCCCAGATTTTCTCGATTAACAGTGCATTAACCTGCAAGAAAGCTGCACTTTTGACGTCATCGGTTCATTAAACACAAAATTCTTCCAAATTTGGTCATCAGTAGCTGGTTATGGTGAATTATGCGATTGCTTTTAGCCAATCAGAATCGGGGAAATATTTTGAAAGAATAATAATTCATCATATGATACCGAGCCTCATTCATTAATTGTTAAATATGTTCTGCTGGAACGTATTCAAAACGTAGAGCTGTATATAAAATTTTTAGAACTTTGGACAGTCCAGTCTTGTGCGATGTCTCCCAGTCCCCCTACTGATAAATATGACGGACGGGATTTTATGAATCAGAATACCATGACAGTTAGAGAAATATTGCAATCTTCATCGTACGGGTTATGTAGGGCAGTCACTTTGAAATCACGGTAAAATCACGGTAAAAATACCGTAAGAGCTTATTTACTTTTTTTAATATTCTTCCAATTCTTTCAACAGAAAAATTATCAGAGGTTCTATGATGACGATTGCGGTAAACGCCCTGCACCGGATTGTATGACAAACCAGCCTTGCATAACAGATGAGTCCAAACTGCCTAAAAGCAACACTACAACAGACACTGAGAGTGATATAAAGCAGGGTTCTCAAGAACTAGTAAGCTGTAATGACTCCTCCAGGCTGGATAAGGCGATGGAAACGGCTATCCAAAATGTCCATTTTTATCAAAATGTTTTGTTAGAAAATGACGATGATAAAGGAAAGGGTTCAGCGGATCATCATGTCAAATCTGTTGGACAAAGCTCAGTTTGTGTCACTGGAAGTAGTTCCGAGGAAGACAGCTCACATCGGTCAGAATTCTCGGCTAAAGATGTTCTTTGTTTTGCCTGGCAGATAGCACAAGGGATGGTAAGCTAATATTTTAAGCTCAAGCATCCTAAATCCGCTCATAGACTGAAGTTAAATTATCATAGTGCGTTTTTATATGGAAAGAGAAAAGTGTATGTGGAATTTGTTTTAAATTTAGAAGGATGACTTTTTATTTTGTTGCTGTTATTTAATAAAATGAAGTGACCATAATGCAGGAATAGCACAAAACCAAGCAAAATACAAGCACTTAAAAAATGATCTTTCCTACATCTTGGGAAGGGGTGGAGAGCAAATACGATATGTAAAACAGCTTGTGAAGTGGATTGTGAAGTGACTTGACTCTTGAGTTGGCCATCGCGGCGTCGTTTAAGCCCCTAATTGAGCAAATTTATTTAGCAAGAAATAAGATAAATAAGACTTTTAATATCTTAATTATGATCTAGTCAAACAAAATCTTACTCTGTTAACCTGATTTTGGTTTATTGGGGGAGGAGGAGAGAAGCTAGGAAGGTTAAAACACTTTTGCACCTCTATCCAACACACAGAATTCCTCGTGTAATACAGGAATAACTCCGATAGGCCAAGTGCAATAAATACTGCTGAAGAGATAAAAGAAATACATTTTCCCCTTCTGTAAAGACCTTTTCGATTCAAGTTTGTTTGATGACTGTCGCATTCACTATGGTACGGGGGCATAATAAAGTCAAGTAAAATTATTTTTGCAAAATTGCTTGGGGAAAAATACAAGGAAATGAGGTTTTAACCATTTGACCATTCACTTTTAATCTTCACAACATAAGATCTCGGCACGCGCAAAAGGATCACATTACTGCAAAATAAATAGGTATTTCTGTGTTCAGTGAGGTGCAATTCAGCCAAATTTCCCAGTGTGATGAAAATTACGTGTGGCCTACTGTGCTAGTTGACGCGAAGGTTTAATTTAATGCTAACGTCATGGGGATTTGATATAAGAATACTAATATTTGTTATCTTCTCTTTTCAATCGCAGAGTTTCTTGTCAAGTGAAGGATTTGTCCATCGTGATTTAGCAGCTCGAAATATACTTCTTGGTGAGGATAGAAAGGTGAAAATATCTGACTTTGGTTTGATGCGACAAGTTGATCAGGAGGTTTACACAGTGAAGAAAGGGAAAAAAATACCATACAAGTGGATGGCACCCGAGGCGATCTTTGAAAGTGAATATACAACCCAAAGCGACGTGTAAGTGTTATGGAGTACAGCTGGGTGTAGAGTCGTGATTTGCGACTAATGGGTAGCTATGTCATTGGTAGGAATATGATGACGTGGAAAACAAGAAATTAGCTGAATGACGTTGCCATATTCCCACCAATGACAAGGCTCCAACCTTCCCTATAGAAACCAAACACAACACACGATCCCCAGATTCGGGCTGACGAAGGGGTAACACTCTAAACATCAGCTTCTCTATCTCCTTACGGTGGCCAATCTAGCTACCAGTGATCAACTCAGTTGATAAAACCAAATCTAGATCATAAAAATCTGCTCACAGCGGAATTAAGACGACTAAAGATTAGTCTTAAAGATATTAACGATTCCTCTACTACTCCTACATTTAGCTTAATAAATTTTCACTTTGCCATGTTCCCACCCATGGCAAAGCTCCAACCTCCCATATAACAGCCAAACACAACCCACAATTCCCAGATTCGCTCTGACAGAGGGCTACCGCTAAAAACGTCAGCTTCTCTATCTCCATACAGTGGCCAATCTACCAGTTATCAAAGACATTTATTGTCCTACTTTTTGAAGAATTAAGTAAATTTTTGTCAGTGAAAATAATGTTTACATACCTGGCACTTGCAACGTCAGGACGTTAATACCAGGCTTTTCTGAAGACCTGGACGAAGCCGACATCATGTTCGTAAGACAGAAATTATCGATATGGAACCAAGCAGACTGTGAATGGACGTCGTCGCTTTTCTAGAGACGAGGCTCTCAGATTCAGGATCTGTCATGGAAAGAAATTTCCTCTTTTTCTGGCAAAGAAAATCACCAGATGAGACCAGGGAACATGGCGTTGGTTTTTACGGTCAGGAATACCTGCTGGGATCCATCGCCTCATCTGCAGATGGAAGCGAAAGAATTTTCTCGCTACAACTCCACTCATCAGTGGTTCTGGTATCTCTGATCACTGCCTATGCCCCGATTCTGTCATTGCCAGGAGAAGCGAAGGATACATTATACCACGAACTGGCAATCAACATCAAGGGAATCACTGAGAAAGAGCTACTAACTGTTCATTCTCGATGACTTCAACGCCAGAGTTATAATAACAATAATAATGATCGTTTATTCAACCTTTTTACAGCATACTGACTGAATTACAAGACGGGTCATTAATTACATACAAATACCTCGGAATTATGACACGTAAATATAACTGTTAATGTTAAGACATATCACATTTCGCTGTTTTAAACGTGATTCTGGTATTTGATGGTGCAAAAATTTCCAAATCTGTTAGTTCTTGAGGAGGCAGACACGGAAACAGATTCTCCTGTTCTAAGGGCATACGGTCTTGTGTGCGCAACTCGCGGCACTAAGCTTCGTAGCAGGTCGGAAGAAGAGTAACTTCGCTTGAGAAATGTTATGCACGCATCCCCCCTCCTCTGGCGCAGCAAAATTAAGCCTGATTTCTTAAGCGCGTCCTCGTAGCACAGAGAAGGAAAAATAATTTTTAGCGCCCTCTTTTGTATTGATTCAATTTGATCACCTTAGGATAGCGTGAGGCCAGCCCAAGCGGCACTCGCATACTCTAAAACAGACCTGATGATACTACAATAGACAAGAATAAGCTGCCTATCAGCTAGTCCGCATTTCTTAAGGGCGCGTATTGCATATAACCGCTTACTCCCCTTCTTTACGATATGAGTGACATGCTCGTTCCATGTTAAGTTATCGGAAAAGTGAACCCCTAACAGCTTGGCATTGGGAAGATGAGCGAAAACAGCCAAGGCCTTCTAGAGCTATGCCTTCATCACAGACTCTGTTTCAGGAATGCGTTCTTCAATAACAAGCCCCAACACAGTCTCCTGGAGAAACCCAAGATCTAAGCACCGGCACCAGTTTGACCTGCTTCTCACCAGACACCAGCTATCGGAGTGCTGAATGCGATACGAATCCGTCCTTGGTGTGTAGCAGAGCAAAATTGCCATCAAAGTAACTGTATCACACAAAAAAGTAGAGGAGGCCTCGCTTTGACATGAGCAAATCCCGTGAACAAGGTAAAGTCGAAGAATTTGCATGTGCGCTTGAGGAATCTTTTCCAGGTGCGCACAATGGTAACGCATGTGATTGATGGGAAAACTTCAACAATGCTACCTTCTCCATTTTCAGTAGGAAGACCAATAAGACTGCTGACTGGTTTGACTCCCACACCGAGGAGATGACACTAGCCAGTGAGGGAAAAAAGGAGAGCCCTGGCAGCATACAAAGCCTGTCCCACTAAACAAAACCTGCAGGCCGTCCGAGCCGCTCGCAGCAAACACCGCACGAAAAATTTGATTTGAACCAAATTTACTCTTTACAAGTTTGGTGCAAAAAAAGTGCACACAACGGTTAAATCAAGGGCAAAGATAGTAAATGCTGCATTTGCCCTCGAATTTACAACCCCATGTAAACTGCCATGCAAATGCGTTATTTAACTTCTTTGCCTTTCATTTCCCACTAGTTTTCACTTTTTTGCACCACATTTGCCCCGGGGTAAATTTTTGTAGATCCAATTTTTCCTGCAGTGAAAGTTCAGCAGACCGCCAGGAGGTGTGCAAACGACTACTGGCTTAAACTTTGCCATCAGAAACGGTCAGCAGCTGATACAGGCAACATCAAGGAGATGTATGATCGGTATTAAGCAGGCCTTGGATCCAACAAAGAAGACAGATGCCCCTCTGAAGTCCGCCACAGGGGAGCTCATCCCAGATCAGGCGAAGCAGATGGAACGCTAGGTGCAGCAATACTCAGAGTTATACTCCAGAGAGGTTGTGGTAACAGAAGAAGTACTGCACGCCATCAAGTGCCTTCCTGTGTTGCGGGAGCTTGACAGTGATCCAGCCCTTGAAGAATTAAACAAGGATCTTGACTTCCTTGATTCTGGCAAAGCACCTGGAAATGAAAGCATCCCTGCCGAAGTCCTGAAGTGCTGCAAAGAAAACATAATTAATCTGTGAGCTACATACTGAATGCTTTGTCCCTGAATTACCACAAGACACGAGGGATGCAAACATCGTCACCCTATAGAAAGACAGCACATCTGCATCTCTCTCCTTAGCGGAAGCTTTTCCCCCAAATGCATTGAAGAGGCTCCAGGTTTTGGTGGAGAGATTCTACACAGAATCGCAATGTGGCTTCCAAGCCAACAGGTCAACCATTGATGTGGTGTTCTCCATCCGACAGCTGCAGGAGAACGGCAGGGAACAACGGTAACCACTCTTCGTAGCATTCATAGACCTCACGAAGGCTTTTTACCTGGTAAGCAGAGACGGCCTATTTAAAATTCTGCCCAAGATCGGATGTCCACCCAGGCTCCTCAGCACCATTAGATCTTTCTGCAAGGACTTGAAGGGCACTGTGCTCTTTGACGGTTCAAAATCACACCAATATTCGAAGTACATGAAGTGAAGAAGGAATGCGTCCTCACCACGACCTTATTTGGGATTTTCTTCGCTTTCCTACTGAAACAAGCCTTTGGAGATGCAACAGAGGGAATCTACCTCCAGACCAGGTCAGACTGAAAGTTCTGCAACCTTTCCAGAGTAATAGCAAAGTCTAAAGTCAAAATGAAATATCTGCGGGATCTCCTATTTGCCGACGATGCAGCCATCACCGCCCACTCAGCCGAAGACCTTCAGAAAGTCATGAGCCGTTTCAGGAACGCATATCAAGATTTTGAGCTGAAAATCAGCCTGAAGAAAGCGTAGGTCATGGCTCAGGTTGTGGACTCACCTCCAAACATTACAATCTTGGAGCATAAACTGGAGTTTTTACATGACTTCGTTTACCGGTACTTTGGCTCGACAATCTCTGATACTCTAACTCTGGAATCCGAACTAAACAGGCGCATCGGCAAGGCTGCTACTACCATTTCCAGCCTGACCAAGAGAGTATGGTCCAACAAGAAGCTGACACAAAATACCAAAATCCAGGTGTACAGAGCCTATGTTTTGAGCGCCCTGCTGTACGGCAGCGAGTCCTTGACCACATCTGCTCACTGTGCGGGAATGACTGTCATTTCCGAATTGGTCTTTTCAGCCACACAAGGCGCTGTTCGAGAACAACCAATCAGAGCGCGACATAACAGACTTTCGAGATTGTAGGATGCCAATGAAATGAAAAGAAATTGACAATTTTATTGAAGCGCGAATGTTTAAAACTAAGAACACTGAGAAAACCAAATGCAAACAAAACACCATACTCTAGAAAAATAGAATTCTGCACGGCTAAACAGGTGTCTGGTTGTTTAAGTGTTAAATAGTCGTCAAAGGCTAATTTTCGTCGATGCTGAACAAGTCTCTGGACACAAACAGTCGTTTCTTACGAATGGCGCCGCAATTAGCACCCTAGCATGTTTCGTTCTCAGTGGTTAATGAAGATATACGCTGTACAACACTACATAAAAATCTTATAAAAACTACACACAAAACTTCTGTTAAATATTCATAAAAATAAAACGTCCACATCAATATTATATAGATATAATGGTTAATTAGTAGTATCTCCTTTTTTTGATTTCTGACTCATGATTTTTTATAATTTATAATTTGCTTATATATTTATTTTGAAAACTACATGAAACATTTAATCTTTAGCGCAGTAAAATGTTTATTTGCAGGTGGTCGTTTGGAGTTCTCCTTTGGGAGCTTTGCACAATGGGTAAGATTATGACGGAATTTTTTTTGTAAACAAAACGTCTCATGAAAGTCTGCTAGGAGGATTCGGGTCTTGACACTTTGAGAATCTGTTTTGTGAGTTTTCTTCCCTTGACGTGTCTTGTCTAGGTATTCACATGAGGCCACAATTGCCTCTTTTGATACTAAGAGTGGATTTTGAGCTAAGGCTTTAAGAAGCCAGAGTAAAATATCGTATTGTACTGACTTGTTATTAAGGAGTGTAACTTTACCAAACAGAATATAGCTTTGTGTCTAGTCAGAAGCATACTTCTGGAATAATGTAAGTACATTTACAAAACTAAATCACTTTATACTTACAATTCTTTAACAATTCAGGCGGAAACCCCTATCCCGGAATAAACGACAAAGATCTGTACGGGCTAATCAAGGCAGGATATCGAATGGATAAGCCAGATACTTGTACTGACGAACTGTAAGTAAGAGTTTAAATGGTAAATACGATCAGTGATTGCGGTTATAGTTTAGCCAATGTAAGCGGCGAAAACGTAACTTGAGCCTTCAGAGAAGCATGAAAAGATATGGGACTCTTTGAGAAATTTAAGTTTTGTATAGAATGCGCACGGGTTACGTGTTTTTATTATTTGCTAATAGGATATTTACGGAACAAGAAACAACGAATATCATTGAAGACAACACCATCACCATCAACAACAAAAACAACATGTTTATTTACCTCATACAATGTACTTTTTCTTTTCCTTTTCTCTTTTCTTTGCCCTTTACAATTCCACCCAGAATATGGATGAATTCTTAAGAATGAAGCTGGATGTATCGAAGGCTTTACAAAGTAACTATCACATCTCCCATAATGCAACTTGTTTTTTCCAAAAAAACTTTGCAAAGCCATTTTTTAAATTTGTCATAAAAAGGGGAAGGGAAGATGAATGTATTAGCTATAAAGGAACAAGTTTTGTATTATATTAATGCTGATAAATAAGATGAAAACGTATTTGAGATGGGAAGCGTATCATACTGTACGCATGCACTCATCATCACTCATTCCAATAAAAAAAAATATAAAGTAAAGGTTCCAAGAAGGAGTCTATCCAATTTGACCCTCTTGGCAGGTACCACACGGTTCCTTATAATAATTGTCTTAGATTTCAGCTGGTGTTGGACTGTTGGAAGGAAGATCCTCGTAAACGGCCAACCTTTGATCAGGCCACAAAGATACTGGAGAAGATGATGATGGTGGGAAATACATATCTAAATCTTGATTTGGTAGATGAGTCAAAGGCGTATTACAAGGAGCACGTTGGTGAAGAGAAAACCACTGATGCAGACACAGAGGATAGGGTCGTTGAAAATGCAACTCCGTCTCAACCGCTCTTATCAGAAAACTAAAACTTGTTCTGAAAAAGGCCATAAAACTAGACGTAAATAAATTAAGCTTAGTAGATATCACGCACAGCTTTTTAATAAGCCATTTAAGGCATTCAAGAAAGAAACTAATGTTTACGCTAAGTTTGGAACTTTCAGATGGAGGCAGCGTGGACGGGTAGTCGGAAGAGGGTCTGAAGGGGTTTAAGTTAAGCCGTGAAACACTAAGCATTTGACACTGAACTATATCCTGTATCCTGTATCCTGTATATCCTGTCATATTGTTCATTCGCTCTTTTGCTACAATTAGCGAGAAAATTTTCTACTGTTTTAAATCACTTACGGTTTCTAAAAGGTGATCCATTCCTAAAATGCTGGCAATATACCAAAAGGTAAGAAATAAACGTAGAGATATTAAAGAAATGTGGCGCGTCTAATCGTCGACCACCGAAAAAACTAAAATGTTACTCTCAGTCATCGTAAAAGAAATATTTCTCACCATTAGCCGTCGATACCAAACCACCTTATCTTCCCCACCCCTCTGAACACCCGCTGGAGTTGTTCAACAGCAGTTCCAATAGGAGTAAGTAGCATCCCCCACCACGCTTGCAAATATAGTAGACAACTGGCCTGCCTTCTTCACCACCGCGGTCAAACGTCTAAATCGTTATTTTTGTTTTTTATTGCTGGGATTTCATTTACCAGTTAGAGAAAAATGGGCAAAGATGTATAAATCAGTTAGTCAACATAACTATCTTTCCATTTTTCTCAAAATTTTGAGCTTTTTTCGCTGAAAACGCTTCGCGCTAATAGAGAATCATGTTTGAAAATGGCGCCGATAATAACGTCAGCATCGGTTTTCAATCACTTAGAACTTTTTTAGTAAACTTTTAAAAAGTTTAGTAAACTAACAGGATGTTGGTAATACCCTAAACTTTCGATAGTGAAAGTAGCAACCTTAACTTTGAAGTATTTGGCTTAACTTTTGCAAATTTCACTCGTTTGACAGCTGTGAAGCCTTCTGCCAGTTGGGATTTAAACCTTGCTTTTAATTAATGATTTTAAATGCGGCATAACAGCACTTAATTGCTTGCTCCAACATAGTATTTGAGTTATTAGTACGTGTTCCAAATACAAAGGTATGGGTTCTACTTTCGATATTTGGTGTGGGCACAAGATACGTAGAAAAAGTTAGGAGAATGGCCATCTTCTTGGCTATGGAATTATACAAGGATTAAGCCCATTCATTTAATGTTAATATACTTTCTGTAGCTAATATCAAGTGACAATCCTTAATCTGTTGTGTTCTATGTTAAGAACGTGCTACAGACTGCTCATAGCTTGCATATCCGCTGAGCGTACGAGAAAAAAAAAATTAAAAAATAACTAAAGGTTCTCATGATGTTAAAGGCTGGATAGCGGATATCACTCAAAACATCCAAGGCATCATTTGCTCGACTCTCCAACCAGTTTTCCAACTCTACCGGTTAACGATTCACTGAGTAGCGACCTGTTTGGTTTTCGTTTTGAGCTTCCGTTATATTGTTCTGTCTTCTCCGTGAAAGTTTGTTAGAGTGGAGATGCTCTTGTCAAATGAGAGCTGTTTCCTTCTTCCCTGGAAGAAACATAGCATTTAGCGTCTTAGAAAATTTTTCTCTTCTTCACATTTACAAAAACACGGAATATAGTTCAAAACAAAAAGAATCAGATAAGCTGAATTTTGATTGGGAAGAAGGAAAGAGCCTTAACAATTAACGATCGTTCTTAATGTGTAATTACATCATCTAGTTTCCTTAATTATGTCCATCAGCTTGTTAGAAATGTTCGCCATTGCAGAAATTGATGATTAAAGTGATGCTATTTACTTGACTCACTATATTTTCAGTGACTGATTTGTTTAACACATCGACAAACCCGAAGCAGCTTATTTTATTCTCTCGGCTGCGAATCGCATCGCATGTACAAGGGCCGACTATTTCTCCTTAAAATAGAACGAAAAGAGAGCAAACCAGGCAATAAATTTACTGGGCCAAAAAATAAGGAATTTTGAAGGAAGTGTTTAAGCTTAAGTCATTGTCTCCCATTAAGGAAGGCATGAGGAGTTTACCTTACTTGTTTTAATTATATTGATTGACGGAATCCAAAAGTGGATGTTGAACAACCTTTGTGACTTGATCGATTTCGTTTTTCAACTGATGAAACCTCATTTGTCCTTCCCCTCCCCCATTCATGCATGCATACGTAGGCAAGGGATCTGCAGTCAAACAATAAACCACCTCATCAGAGAAAATGTTTTTTCATTTACAGAAAAATATTGTCTACTTCACCTTTATGCATGTTTCGTTAATGTGTTGCTATCGTATATAGCTTAACCAGAGGAGGTAAAGATTTTTTTTCTTGTTTTTGAAGAAGCTAATGGATGCACGCGCTATTGAATTGGGGATAATTCTACTGAAATAGCCAAGAGTTGTTTACCTACTGTATGATCTGTTGTTGACTGAAAGAAAAAGGTCTTATTGTTGTTTATTTTAATAGAATCATCTACACAAAATAACAGAGAGGATACAAACAACTAGGCTCTACTGATTATAAGTAGACAAATGAATTAGATTAAACTTTAATTAACACGACCAATTCGAGAACTCACTTTATTTACAGACAAATCCACGAATATAATTAATTGTGCTCAAAAAAGACCTCCAAAGAATACATTTGAAAGAATTGGACTATTAAATACGCAATTTAGCCTTCACCGTAAACGGTTGTCATTCCTGAGATCTCTAGTGACATAAACTAGAGGAGGTTAAGATGGGAGTTGTTTCTTGCACCACATCCCCCTGCGGCATTCACTTTTCTTTGTCGGTGTTTCTATCATGTCCCTCTTCTTTTTACACCAGTACCCTGGGGGGCAGCCAGCATCAGCTTCTTTCTTGCTATCGCAGTGGAAATCGCGAGGGCAATTTCTTTCCGACAGGATATCGGTTGATCTCTTCTTTCTGCACCAGTAACCAGGGGGACAACCCATAGAACGAGGCTCACTTATCATCGTTTTGCTTATCCTGCACCATTTACTACGAAACAAAAACAACACAGCTTTTGAAATTTCCGTCCTATTTTTCTTATTTCTTAAAACTCTGAGGAAAAAGCAAAATATGGTCGCCCAATAAGTCACGCGCACGGCTTTAATCGCGCGCCAGCTTTCCTCAGTATTCACCCAAGGGTAAATAGTAAATGGGTAATTTACCAATTAGAAGGCGCGATTTACTCTTCTGATGTTACAAAAATGTACTGAATAACTGCTACTAACCCCTCTCCGCAGTCTTCTGGATTGGTCTCGCGATCTACCACTAGTTCACTTCTCCGGCACCAATAACCCGGGGGGCATCCATAGCTTCTTTTTGACCGGCACAAAAATCCCCGTGGGCATTCAGCACTGTCAAACTCCCGCTTCTTCTTGCACCAGTATCCTGGAGGACAATATCCATATGCCTCATCTTCTACTTTGGTTGATTCTTTGACGTCAACGGCATGCGCTAACACCCCGTATATACCCAGTAAAAGGGCTACAAGTGTTAGCTGCTGCAACATTTCTGCAAGAGAAGCGGTTGTGGTAAGTTACTATCAGATTATCGGCAAGATAAGTTTATCTCCACCGTCAATCCTAATAACGAACAGAATTGTTTATGAAATATGATGAAAAGTTTATTTCATCAAAAAAAAATATCCCTGTGAGTTGTTGTTGTTTTTATGACAGCTCACAGTAAAGCACTACTCAGATACTTCGCTGGCCCTTCAGCTAGTATTGTATTTGGACACACAAATAAAGTTAGCATTCAAATTTAGATTGTTTGAATCAAAAGGAGAAACGTTCATTTAGAGAGCTGATTACCGTTGAGTGCTTTAGGTTAGTTTCCCGGCCTTGTTGTGATGTGGTTATCGTATGACTTTTTTACTTTTTATTGTTATTTATATTATTATTATTATTATTGTTTTCTTTTTTTTTTCAGCCGCAGCTTGTTCTTAGCTTTATTCTTTTTTGTTATCATTTTTCTTATCTCGTTCTCGTAGTCTATTGTCACAAAGTCGAACGTAATTAACACTGGTTATTAATCATCATTAACAGGACTGGTTTTCTTTGCGCAGCAAAAAGGAAGGTTTTTTGGGGGGGTTGGTAAGAGGCCTATTTTTCCTAGAAAGCCAATTGGATTAAAGCCTGACTCACCGCATGTTGCAAACCGAATTTTTTGGTTATTATTGTTTTCTCGCCCCACAGCGAGACGTATGAGCACCATTACAGTGCTGATGAAACGAAGCAACTAACGTATTGAAAGTTATTTACAGCTATGGATGGCGTAAATCAGGCGCATTAAGCAAACACTCAAAATTAGACAGCGGGTCGTAGATTGGAACAAGACCCCAGGTAAGTGACAAATCAGAAATTTCGTATAGTTACTAAGTGTGCATTCAAGATGTAATAAACTCATCTTCTTCTGTTATAACGTTGGTAACTGACTATAACAAAAATTCTGCGGATTTTTCGTAGCCGGTCACAAAACGCAAAGAAACGCCTCATCCACACTCAAACTTACATTCTTCTAGAAATGACGCGGTTAAGAGATTGGAAGTCGAACTAATTACACAGCGCGTCGCGTTGTCATCCTATGCGACCTTTGCTTGGTATTCAAACGATTTCCGCAGTTTTTATTGAATATTTACCCAGAGCACTGAGGGCATGACACCACAAAAGTGATACAGAGCAAATATCTCTTTCTTTGATGTCAAGGATCAATCCGACAGAAACAAATTTTGAAGAAGTCTTTGCTCTTTTTTCCTAAAGAGGCACTGATGAACCGATGTAATATTCTTTCTACGAACGGTAGAAATTTAAACGAAAGAGTGAAATTTTATACTAATCCCTCCTTGTTTATTCAAATTGAAACACTGAATTTATAGCATAGCAAGAGGTCGATAGAAGTCGAGGGCATTATATTAAGATAAAAAAAAATTTTCTAAGAAAAAAGGTAAAAAAAAAAAATCAAAGTTTTTTTCTGTGTCCATTTCAAGGAAAACTGGTTTGTTCATTGTGAAAAAGTCGATTAAAGCTACTTGAATGAGGAGGCTTTTTAGATTTTCTCTTCAAAGGCAATGTGCGCGAGACCGTAAAAAAAATATATTAAAATATTTGAAAATTTTCTTTCATTTACTTAAGAAAATAAAAACACAGCTGATAAAGATGAAAAAGGCTCTGTTTGGCGAAGACTAACATCCTTTGTCGAGTGATCTACGTTTTTCTTAAGCAATGTTAGTTTTGGGATAAAAGCGTCAGTTCTTCGATAAAGTGAAAACTTGTTCTATTTTGCAAAAAAGAATCAAAGAAAAGAAACAGGAAAGTGCTAAAATACCCGTTTTTCGTTTCTTCCTCCTCAATTTTGAAAGGAAAATGCAGCACTTTAGCGATCGAGTGTGAAAAATAAATGAATTCTAATGAATCAGGTAGTGGCGCAAATTAAATCACTCGCGCGCAAGAAAAATAAAATAAGGCTGGTTAGACAAGTCGCTGCTCAATTTATGTTGTCGGTTGTGAATTTCTTAAGATGTATTTACGCTTCGAGGAGAGAAGCAAATTTCAGGATATAAACATCGGAATCAGATTCTTAAGCGAGAAATACAGCACTGGATGTTCTTTAGATCACAAAATTTCGACAGATGAAGCAAAAAGATTTAATTAAACTGGCTAAACATGCTATTGTAAGCGCTTTAATGGTTCCTTAATTGAATTTTGTTCCTTTTTTAGTACTGAAAAATAATGTAATTCTTCGAGACCAAGAAAACTGAGTATAAAAATATATAAAGAAGCTAGATTATGTTTTGCTAAGAGTAGTTATATTAGTGAATGGCAGCAAGATAAGAGTCAAAGAGCGTAAATGCCAGCTTTTACGTCTGACCAAAATAGTTCCTTCTCTATATTCATTATTCAGAAGAATAAAATCACAGGCCTTCTAGTTAAATCATGGCGTATCTTCCAATAAAACCGAAGGTTAGTTCGAATTCACGACGAGTTTTATAATAAAATGTTCAAGAATAACTTAACCAAATCGGCATTATTTCGTGGCCTGTAAACTTAATTTATAAAATATCACAACTGTCAAAGGATATGTTTAAAGCAGCGCAAGTATGCGAGAAGAAATTAACCCATCTCTAATCTTCTACTAAAGAAATAAAGCTTCCTCATGGTCGTGATATCGTTTATCGCGTTTTTTGACTGACTTGAGTAAGAAACTCTGACCTGTACTTCAAAACAGTAACAAATAGGTAACGGTAACGTTATTATAGTACGATCATTTCAAAAATTATTACGTTGTACCATATAGAGTTACGCATTACTTATTGATCCCTTTCTTTAGTATTTTTCGTTTTGACTTCTTGTTAGAGTGTCATTCCAACAATTTCAAAAGAAAACCTGTGACTAAACTGGTCCGCCATAGAGTATGAATACGTCATGAGCTATAAGGTAACATGGCTCAGCGACGGATTCCTCCATGAGTGAAAAAATAAAAAAAAAAATAAATGAACAGAAAAATTAGCGCGTTTTTCTACGTAACTGACGTTAACTCCTATGCGGCGTAAACCTCTTCTGACGAGTAGAAAATCCCCAAAATAATCACGTTTTCTAAAGCGGTAGATAATAAAAAAATTAAGAGAAGACTTACCTACCTTTTGTCTGAAACAAATATTGTGATGATAACAGTAGAGAATGTTAGTAACAAAAGGATAATCCAACGAGACTAGTCGTGATGTATATGGCGTATAACTACTTGTGCGTTGACCTGACTAGATGCATTGCTTTATAGTCAGCCAACTAATTGTGGGTGTTTTAATGAGGTATTTGTCTTCGTCAATGAAAGTACATCCGAAGCTAATCTAGACACGCAGATCGAATGTTTAAATTGTGTAATTTGTCATTGAATCTCGAATCCGCATCCCATCAAACGTGATACAATAAATCAATCTGTGCAAACATTTAGGTTGGTGAAGATCACTTTTAATTAGCGCGTGGTGCGATATTTCCGGGCCTCGAGCTAACAAAGGATAGAAATCCTCCTTAATTCATTTAAACCACCTCTTTTACTAGATGTAATCTTTCATAGAAATGAAGGCTTTTATGAGCTTAAAGTGAGCGCATAACGGACGCAAATAAACTGTAAATCAAAATTTTTCCATCTCTTGTTAAAACGCTCAACAATGAAACTCACAATTAAGCAATTCAGGCGTATAGACATCTTTCGAATGATAATTGATCTGTTCAATTTTTGGAGGGAAGTAATAGTTTTTAGGATATTGAAAATACATTATCTCGTTTTCACAAGAATAATTGGCTTTTTGATCCCCAATTGCCTTATGTGATTAGATCCTTATCAGTTTTTAAAAACAATGGATATGCATTACATCTCTTTTAGTGTCGCAATTTGTGGACCATGAAAGCGACATAATCTTTTCTTTACTAACACAGCAAGATGCACGGACAATTTTTCTTAATATTTTTTGCGCTTATCCAGTGTTGAAAAAAAAAAGGAAGCGCTGAAATATATGGTTTTAGCAAAAGTTCAGAGATGAAAGTGGATATGAATATCAAGTGTACCAAAGAGTAAGAAAGACTTTCTATTTCAAAATCAGACTTTTTTTCCAGAGATCGATGGCCATGAACCAGCTTGTCGCAGGCAGGGGCGCTCGCACCAAACAAAGCATATTATAAAAATGGATTTTTACAGCAGAAAGGCGATCGAGCGCATTGATCAGCATTACTTTAAAAGCCTTTGCCGGGAGTTTATTTGATTTCCTTTTGAATCGCCAGTTCTTCTTAATGAAAAATGCGTCGTTTTATATCAAAATGTTTAAATATTCCATATTTTAAAGGGCTTGATATAGAGTTCACCTTCCGTTTTTTAATCGATATTTTCATCTACTTTTTCTGTACTTTGAAGGAAAGGCACAAATGTCCCAGTTTTTGTTCTTTTTGAGGATTAAAAGTAGCTTATTTGAATCGAAAACTCTTGTGCAGCGAAAAAGTACAAAGTTTGTAGCACGGATCTTTACTTATTTATATCACAGATCATTCTGTTAGAATCTCACTATAACCCATTCAAGATTATTCTCCAGTAATTCTTGGACTTCAGAGATTCCATCATTCTAATATTCGGCAATAGAAATTTTTCTAAATAATGTTTCTATTATATTCAGTAAGACAATTGCTCTCCCTGTATTATATCCATATGAATGCTTCATGGATACCGTAATAAATAGTAATAAAGGAAGTTTCCTCAATAGACGAATACGTCTTATTAAGCACGGAAATTGCTCCTCGAATATAGCGAATAAGATTTATATTATGTCTTGAATGCCTGTATTTACAGGAGTAAAGGGGACTTGCGTTGCAAAATTTGGAAAGAAACTGGTTACTCTGATCTTAAGTGCTGCCATTCTTAATATATGAAACCGAAAAATTAATCCGTTTTCAAGGTAATTTAGCAAACCTTTGTTTTTGAGAATTATTTCTTTGTGATCAATTCTATTTGTTTAATTTAAACACT